GCTGAATCATGACCTGCAACAATAGGAAATTGGCTTTCATGAATTAGCCCATAAATAGTATCTAGTGCCTTATTGTTGTGTCCAGCACTTGTTTTCTCAGCTTGGGTCCACTCATTTTCAGGTTTCGTCACTCGAGTTTCATCCTCACTGGTACTGGCTTTGGTTGGATGTTCCCAGCCTGTTACAACGATACACCATACTGCTTCACCTTGGGCTTTGAGATGAGTACGCGTGCGCACCTTCCAATATGCATAGTTGTCACCGACTAGATGGGGAAGAGCTTTAGTGTGCTCCATTCTGTAACACTCAATAACCCGTGAGATCGAACAATTTAACAAAATCAGAAATAATAATAATAGCCACTGAAGAATTGAGATCAAGGGGCACGGAGTAGCCAGATCGACAGACTAATAACTTAAGTCTGGCGGCTCTGATACCAATTGAAAAAGCCTGATGTTATCACATCTTTGCTTGTTTTTATAGTTATTTTGAATCATCTCAGTATTTAAGTTCTTTAATTTTGCTTATTTAATACATATTTTCCTTGCTATTATCATTTAATTATGGTTCACACTTGTTTTGAATGTTTTACGGTGTTTGTTAGTGTTTTTTGAACCATTGTAGGTCAATTCTATGAGCAAGGGAAGTTCAAGGATGAGTTTGGAGCAATTTTGGACGAGTTCGGAGCCCAGTGGACTTGACGCGTCGAGCTAAAGGCTCGACGCGTCGAAAATTTCCAGTAGCATCGGAAATCGAGACCATCAGGTCTCGACGCGTCGAGCGAGGCACTGAAATCAGACGAATTAAAAGGGGCGGCGTTGATGTTAATCTCCAATTCAAACTGCAATGTTTCCCAATTCAAACTTCAATTTCCATATTCAAAGGCGCAGCAAAGTCCAAATTCCAACTTCCAACTTCAATTTATAATTAAATACTTCCAATTTCTTTAATTAATTATAGGAATTATAATTTGAGTCCAATTTTGTACAAGATTCCTATTTCATCTCAACTTTGTACCCACTATAAAATCTCTCCTTCCTCAACCCTAAGACACCGAGAGATTTTTAGAGTTCTTTGTAGACAAGAAAGAGAGAAATCAAGAGGCTCGAGTCGTCTTTGGAAGCAAGGAGGAAGCCAGGGAGATTTGGGAGAATCGCTTGGTTAATTCTTGTACTCTTCTGATGATTTGTAATCCTTTATTCATATTTGCTATGTATAATTTAGCCATGCTCGGCTAAATTCCTTAGGGATTTTTGGGTGAATTTGTTTATGAACCTATGTGCCTAGTTCGTTAATTTCTTAATATATTTATGTTTGGTTTTATGATTTGTGTTCCAATCTTGTTTTAATCTGTTGTTGTTGGTAGTTAAAGGCCTAAATTACTAGCTTCACAGTCATGTTTGTGTCACCAATGGGAGTTGGGGCATAAATTAGGGCACACACGATTGCACCTAATGGTTGGTCCTTGGGAAAGGGGAACTTATTAGGGGAAGTTTATTCTAGATTATTGCTCATCGGGAGATGGTAGTAATTAGGAATAATTGAATGCTGATCTTTGATCTTATTGGGTGTTTAAGCCATGGGAGTGGAAATTCACTAGGAATAGAGATTACGGGAGTAATTCGATTCCACTTTGCATTCCCATACGACTCTTAATTCCAAACCAAATATTACAAACGTTAATTGGCACTAGGTGATTAAACATTGTGATCCCAAGAATCCTGTTTTGCTCTATTGTCTACAAAACCTTGCTACTTATTTTATTCTGCTTATTATTTTATGCAATCAATCAACCTTCAAGTTTTGTTCGGACTAGTTTCATATGAGTAACCTAGTAGCTAGTGATTAGTACACCACCTCTCTGTGGTTCGACAACCCGAATACTCCGGGTATTATTTGTTTGCCCCAAATTACAGCAATCAAAGCCCGTGTATCTTGAAATCAATTTAACACTAAGGATTCTACTTGATTTTATGTTATGAGACAATTTCGCTGTTTAATTAAATCAATTTAATCAACATATAAATAACGAAATTGAAAGCATATATAAAGTAAGACACAGTAGAATTGTTACGCAGTTCGGAGCTCCTTCTCCTACGTCTGCGGGGCAACCCACGTCTGCCCAATCCACTAGATGTTCACCACAGAGTATTACAAGAGGTAACTACAAACGGCTCACAGCCTTTACCACTACAACTCTTCTAAAACACCTATTCAGGACTGAACCGTGCATGCCATACCCATCTTTGGTGTAGCACTTCAGCTGTCACATGTACTGATTTGAAGTACAGATTTAAATCACTAATAATATAATCAATATTAAAACAATATATAGGAAGCTTGCGTATGAGATCAAAATTTCAGAATTGGCAATTTCCTCTTTCGACTTCCCTTCCTTATATACTGTACGCAACTCCCATTCCTCCAATCCTTGATTGTAGCTTTCACATGTGGCTTGAATTCTTCTCAACCAGATCTTCTTTAATTTGAGATCTTCAGACTTGCTCTTTGTCCAATTCATTAACAATAAATCTCCACAGCACATTTTAGCTTGGTCCAATAATACTAATTACAAATCAATTTAATTAACATTACATATTAATAAAATAAACTAATAAATTAGCCAATCTAATGTGTACTAATTTGTACACTTACACTTTCAGTATTTTCAAATTTGGTATAGCTGCTATTTTCTCCCAATGACACGTATACACAAACGATATGATTAAAGTTCTGGAGTGCTTTTGATTGTGATGATCAAAAGCCCTATTAATGATTTGAAAGGATGTACGCCTCAAAGGCTTTGGAATATATACAGCAATATACAGAATCTCCCTCTACTAGAAACGAAATCTGGACAACATTACCTTCACAATGTGCCTACATTATTTGTGGAAAAAAGCAAGCAGAGAGATGAAAGTTCTGGCCTGGAGTGTATAGTAGAGGAAAAGAAAAGAGAAGAAACTAATTTATTACATGTATTTATCCTGCATAATGCACTGGTCAGAATGCAGTGATATCTTGCACTTAGATAAGGCTTTCTGTTTGTTGCCTGGATAAGGCTTTCAATAGGCATCAATAGCAAGAAATCAAACAAAATCTTAGTCCTAAAACACTTAGCTACTCATAACATAACAATAATAGATACACAAATTAAAGGAGTCACTGAAAGCATATATGAAAAGCAAATGAAAGGGATGAAGAAGAAAACTTATCTATTATATTGAAGCTTTGGTATCCACGATTACAATGTTCTTGAGCTTGGAATTTGAGAGAAAACAAGAAATGCAGTCTAATCTAAGTTATATTAGAGCTAAACCTAACTAAGAAATGATCGAAAGGAAAATGAAGGTTGTGTTTTGGTGAAAAGATTTCTCCTTTAAAACAAAGCAAAAATTCTTTTAAATGTTGTAGGATCTGGGCACGGGCATAGGCGTGGCCACGGCCGAACCCATGCCCAATCCCAGCAAAGAGTGTCTACTGGATAAATTAGTGCGATCATTCATCTCTTTTTGTTCAAAGGTTGAGAAAAATAATAAATGATTGCAACTAAGACAAACGTTGCAACAAGAACAAACAAAATAGTATTAGTGAAACAATGTTCTCATAGAGTCACAGAACTCTAGCTATTGACTATATGATGGTATTTGATGCTACAAGTTTGTATCACAAGATATATCTTATCACCAGAAGGCGTCTAATAACAAAATTATTCCCTAGCTGAAATATCAAGAACAACCCAGCAGCCAACAACAAACTAATAGACCAAAGGAGTGAAACAGGGACGTTCGTTCTGGTTATAACCGTCTCTAATGGATACTTATGCCGCCTCTACCTATCTGAAGCTTCTTTTTCTTCCTCTTCCTTTGTACATCATCTCGCAAGGTCATAACAGAAGGAATCAATCCCCTTGTGAATGGAAAAAAAACGCCTCTGCCCGATACTTCTGTCGCCTCTACCTATCTGCACCTTCCTTTTCCTCTTCCTCTCCACCTTCCTTATAGGAAGGAATGCATCCCCTTGTGGATGGAAAGAAACGCACTTCCCCATCTCTGTTTCTATGTATTTCAGCTACACAAATTATCTTCTGCAAAGGATGGACTTCTACATACACCTCCAATTCTTCTCCCATCATTGTTGGAACCTCAAAAGGAATCCTATCATACCCTTTATATTTGGGTTCCTTTAGAATCCAAGCACCACAGCTTTTACTTCTCACACTCACACCAATTCTCTCTACATCAGTATAATCAATTTCATTGTGATCAATCACATTGTGCATGATTATTTCAAAGAATGCCATATTTGTTAAACGAAAATAGCAGGATATCCCCCTAACGGACACATGAACCGCAATCTCGACAATATCACATTTAGAATGTGCCTACATTATGGAATACATACACATAATATAATAATTAATAATACCATCACTGCATTCAAAAAAATAATATTATACCATAATTATTACCATCGACCTATTCTAATATAATATTAGAGATGAAGGGAACAGATATAACTAACCTTGAACCACTTTACAATCGAAGGAATCCTCAAACCACTGCAATTTGCTATCCCAAGACTATGTAAGGATTTAAGACTCTCGAAGCCTGAAAGCTCAACCAAACTTTTGCAGTTCTGAATATCTAGCCATGTAAGTCTTTTTAAGTTGGATAGATCTGGTATCTTTTCTAATGAGACACAATTCTTTGCAGAGAACATCACCAAATTAGGAGGAAGTGGTGGAAGTGATCTAAGATTCCACCAATCGTTCAAGCAGAGATACATCAAATTGGAATATTGATGGCAAAGGCATAATGGTAAACTTTGAACATAATATCTTCCCATTAAATCTATTCCTTTCAACGAGGAGGACAAACTCCTAAGAGGAATTGGAACATCTTCTTCATGCAAATAGTTGTCAGGAATAGTCCAAGCATTGTAATTCCTTATGTTAAGCTCTAAAAAGGGTGAGAAACTCTCCATGTATGGAAGCTCAACCAAATTTACACAGTTTTCAAGACTCAACACTTCAAGTTTCTTCAAGTTTGATACAGCTGTAATTTTTTCCAATGAGACACAATTATCTGCAAAGAGTTCCTCCAAACTAGGAGGAAGTTCTACAAGTACTCTAAGATTTTGCAAATTGTTCAAGCAGAGAAGTTTCAACTTTTAAAGATGACAAAGGCTGAAGGGTAGGATTTGAAGATAACAACTTATTCCTGATAAATCTAAAGATACCAATGAGGTCAAATTCTCAATAACTTCAAAGGAGCACAAATTTGCAACTGAAGGTGGAAAAAAACCAACACCATCACGACTTCTTCTTGATTTTGATAGTACAAAACTCTTGTACTGTTGCAGTTCCAGTGTCTTTAGATTTCTCAAACATCCCAAAGAAAATGGTATACATGAGATGGCAGTTCCACTAGCAAGTAAATCTCTTAGTTGCTCTAATTTTCCCAAGTCAATTGGAAGCTCCGCCAATTTTTCGCATTCATATAAACGTAAAACTTCAAGTGATTTTAACATGCAAATGCTACTTGGAAGAACCTTGAGTTTCTTGCAATGTTGGAAATCTAACTCAACAAGTTTCTCCAAACTTCCAATTGATGGGTGTACCTTGACCAAATTTGAACACCACTTAAAGGATACTTTTTGAAGAGTATGTGCCCCAGTGAAGTTTGGTGTTTTCTTAAGTTGTTCACAATAATCAAGCTTTAAAATCCTCAAGCATCTAAAATGCTGTTGAAAAAAAAAAAGTAGAAAAAGATTTAGGCCCTGTTTCGTAAAATAGTTAGCCTATCAATCAATTTTGGCTTATTTGACCACTATTAGTTGTTTGACTTGGTGTATAAGTGTTTGATTAATTAGCTTTTTGTAACAACTTATTGCTCCAAAATGCTAAAATTCAAAAAACTACTCAAAGTAGCTTTTTCGATCAGCTTTTTGAGAAGTCATTTTGTATATAATCAGCTAACAGTTAATTTACCAAACACTTTTTTACAATCAGCTAATACTATCAACTAATTAAACCTACTAACTGATAAACATTATTTTTAGTATTATTTTTAATAATCTTTTTATAGTTAATTTGCAATAATTAATTCATTTTATATTTATTTTTATTTATTATTGTTATTAGTAACTTTGTAATATTATTCAATTTTAGGTTGTTTTAATTATTAAATTTGTTTTATTATTTGAATTATGTCAGTCCAATAATTCATTGATCTTAATTTAATAATAATAATATTAATTAGTTTTAGTAGTACATGATCAATAGGAGTTTAATTAGTGTAGATTAGTTATATATGGTCTCTAATGAGTTTATTATTATTAATATTATTATTATTATTATTATTATTATTATTATTATTATTATTATTATTATATCTTTCTTCCCAATTATTATTTTATATCATAAGAAAGAGGATCGCAGACTTCTTCTCCGACAATGGTGATGGATGATCCGATTGAAGAGCAGGACATTGAATGGAAGAAAATTTCCCATGGCTTCCCCTTAATTTTAGGCAAATTGTGTAGCTTCTTGGTTGGATGATTGAAGAAGAAGGAGAGGCTGTTGGGATTGAAGCAATATAAATAGAGGAGAATTTATGCAAGAGATCATCAATTCACCTCGGAGATTTCCGGTGGTTCGCGTAATTTCGATCGGCAATTCTGGGCGTGGCAACTTCTTTGTCGCAGCAATCTCCGTTCAACACATCATTAGCAATTTCTGATTCTTTCTTTAAGTTTCCTCCTTAATTTGGATTTGTTGGTTTCTTCCTAGTGGTTAGCAGCAAGCAATATTGTTATTCTTCTTTTAATTCCCTTTCTTTCAATTTCAATTTGTTGGCCGTACCTTTAATTTGGCACATTGTTTTTCCAAGTTTTTCCCTTTCTATTCAATTCGTACTGTTTTTGTTCCTCTTCAATTCTTACTGCTAAATTTCGCAAAGACTCTATTAAATTGCTACTTTTGTTTAATTCTTTAATTCCTAAATTGTGAGCACACTATTCAGTTCTTAAACACCGTGCTAATTCTTTAATTACTTTGTTTTCTATAATTATTATTATTAATTTGTTTTGTGATTAATGAAGCTTTGTGATTTAATTTTTGCAAGTTTGATAACAATGCACTGTATAATGATTTGTTCTTTGGGGATTGGATGACTGCAATTGATTATGATGTAAAGTATTGCTCTGAGCTGCTCTTAGTTTTGAACTGTCGAATTGTTTTGCTTATTCATATTTACTTTTAATGGTTGATTTAAAAATGTTTTGTTTATTTATTTACTTAGCTTCTTTTAATTTCAACTTAATTATCTTACACTTGAGTTTATTCTTATCTTTGGTATCCGTTTTTAACTCTTTAAATTATCAAGTTAATTAATTTTAAGATTATAAATTGCATATTATCAATTCCTCTTGGGTTCGACCCTTGCCTTTGCACACTACCACTACTACACTGACTCGTGCACTTGCGAGGACATTATATATATAAAATTGTCCAATACTAACCTAACCAGCTAACAACCATTTACCAAAAACTCCTTAATCAATTCCTATTTTTCTTGTCAAAGTTCTTAATTAAGAAATATGCAATGTTGAAAGAAACATTAGACATACTAACCTGCATATTGCATTGGAATTCTTCGATAATGCTCCTTTCCAAGGCTAACTCAACAAGTTTCTCACAGTGAAAATTAGATTGTATACGACTCAAGTTGCAATTGTGTAATCTAAACAACCTAAGCTCATTGGATAAATATTTAAAAGACCCACTGAGACACACACCATCCAATATGAGTATTCGTAACTTTACCATCCTTTTGAATACTTGAGTACTCAAAAGGCACATTCTTTAACATGTTAGAATTTACAATCATCCCTTCAATTGCTTCCGTGCCCTATTAAAAAAACATTTATAGAGCAATATTTTATATTTTAGATATTTTGAAATTTTTGATTTTAATAAAGTTAAGTATAGAAAGCAAATGAATTAACTAGAATAAATCAAATACAAATGAAATGTATTACCTTATTCCCATGAAGAACATCAAACACATCCTTTGGGTCAAGCAGTCTACTTTGTTTGCCGGGCTCTCGTGGAGATTCCTTTTGAACAATTTCTCTTCCCATATCTCGTATTAAATTATGCATTTGGAGCCTTCCAAACTCTATTGTCAACAAGCATCTTTCAATCAAAGTTTTAATTCCAATTTTAACATAAAAACCACAAGCTTCCAATATTATAGAAGTGTCGTTTTTGTCATGCCCAATGAAAAAAAAAGCAATATCTAGAAAGATGTTCTTAGTATCATCATCAAGTGCATCATAGCTTATTTTAAGAATACTTTGAACTTTATCATGAGGCGTTCTTCTTAATTTCTCAGCATTGTCGCTCCACTCTTGCATGGATCTTCCACGCAAATGAGAACCTATAATTGTAAGTGCTAATGGAAGTCCAACAGTATACCTTGCTATCCTTTGGGATACTTCAATATACTCCTCTAATGGTATGGGAACACCAAATGCATGCCAACTCAAGAGTTGCAAGGATTCTTCAGGGCTTAACGTTTCTACCATGTACTTCTCGTGTGCTTCCAAGTCACTCAACAATTGAACATCTCTAGTTGTTATTATAATTGTGCTCCCTGAACCAAACCAATTACGTTGTCCTGCTAATGATTCTAGTTGACTAGTATCGTTTATGTCATCAAGAACAATAAGAACACTTTTTGATCGTAGTCTTTCTTTAATCAAACTTATTCCTTCATCAACATCATCTATTTTAAGTTTCTTTCTGTTAAGTGTTTTGCAAAGAAGTTTCTCTTGTAAACGAACTAAACCATGATGCCCTTCAGAAACTTGTGATCTAATGTTTGCAATAAAGCAGCAACCTTCAAACTTTTGAAAGCTCAAGTTGTAAATGGCTTTAGCAAGGGTTGTTTTTCCTACACCACCCATGCCAAAAATTCCAAACATCTTGATATCATCATTTCTTTGAGTTTGCAATAAATGAAGTATATCTCTGACATGAGATTCAATTCCAACAGGATACTTTGCAACATTCATGTATGTACGATTCACTTCCCGCAATACCTCTTCTGTAATTTTTTTGATGAACTTTGATTCATACCTATCACATTTTTCCAATGAATGTCAATCTAAATCATTAAAGAAAATATACGTGGAAAACAAAAAACTAATGGTGTGTTTGGTTCAAACATGGAAATCGGAATCGGGATGAGAATCAAATACTTGGTAATGGTAATTGATTTTAGTACAAGTGTTTTGCTTGTCTTGTAGTAGGGTGGAAATTAGAATGACTATCTATATTGATGTTTGGTTATGTACGACTCTTTAATGGAAATAAATATTTTAATGATACAAAAAAAAAAAAAAAAAAAAAAAAAAAAGTCAAAGGCAATTGATCATAATATAATGATATCTAAAGCACCAATATGAACATAAAATCAAAACAAAAATCTAAAGGATATAGTGAGGAGGAAACAGATCGGGAGGTGACAAATGAGGAGGAATAAGATGGAATGATGCCCGTATTAATTAATTAGGTAATGTGATTTTTAATTCAAGGAGTAATCAAATCCTATAATTGTGTTTTCAAAGTTATCAACCAAAAATAACTATGATTTTGATTCTCATTGTACAAACCCATGAAAAAAAACACACCCTAAATATGTATATTTAGTCGCTCATGATTCAATTGCTTGAGGTAAACAACTGTTAATAATATTTTTATCAACGGATATAATAATCAATCAATTATAATTTCTAAAAGAAATTAATATTTATGACAAATAAATTGAAATGCACCGGGCAGATTCTTCTTGTTTTACCAAAAATATTAATCCATCCTTAAAGATGCATGTAAAGATGAACGCAATTTTTAATTAGCAATACTAACATAATTAATATTATTGACAATATAATATGAATTAGTGAGCCAACTTGTGACAAATATATCATACTATCACACAAAAAAAAAAAAAAAAATTGAAAAGAAGATTTACCCATTTGTCATGGTTTGCAAATCCCATCCCGACAAATCAGCAACAGTAGTGAGTGCAACTTTCCACTCATCAACTTTTTCATCATCAAATCGTTGACGATGTTGAATCATTGCCTTACCAAATTCGCCTGTTTGTTTACGAACCTCTGAAGGATCAACGTTGTAGAATATTGGCAGAATTATCTGTTGAAAATTTTTCTTACAGTCTAGAATCTTCACCAGTTCATCAAGGCACCATCTAGATTGGGCATAAGTTTTTGAAAATACAATGATGGATATCTTGGACCCCTCGATGGCCTTCAATAGCTCATCAGAGATGTTCTCACCTTTTCGGATTTCTTCATCGTCCCGAAAGGTATTAATTCCAGCCTGACACAAATCTTCATAGAGATGATCAGTAAAAGATTTGCGTGTCTCTCCTCTAAAACTCAAGAAAACATCATACATCCAAGCAGTAGTAGGTGAAGATGAAGATGAAACAGAAGCCATATTTGAAGTTGAGAACACTATCTTCTATCTTGATTTGCTAGCTAGCCAGATAGTTTCTAAAGATTTAATTAGCTTGGAAAATGCGTATGTACACAGACGATAACGTAATGGAAATTTCCTTCTGGCCACTGCGAAACTCAATGGAAATTTCTTAGACAATCCAACGTAAGATTGCTATATGTAATATATTTGATTGACCTGGTCTTCTTAATGGAAATTTCCTTCCGGCCACTGCGAAATTCAATGGAAATTTCTTAGACAACCCAATGTAAGATTGCTATATGTGCATTATAATACATTATTCTAAAACATAATATACATTATTTTAAAACATAATGACCTTGAGCTCTTTTACTTTTATTTATTTTTATGTAATCAACATATTTTGTTTTTCTATTCTGCCCTTACATCTTTATTAGTTTTTTGTCTCAATTTCTAGTTCCTAAGTACAAAATTTCTAATTTACTTGATTCTCTCCTTATCGTAAGCATATTCCCTTTTCTTTCCTGTAATTTGAAGGGTTAGGGTAGGCCTGTACTGTTCGTTTGAAGGGAATCATGAATCAGTAATGGAGGAGATAATTGAGGATTTGAGGGAGTCAACAACATTAACATCGTATCCTGGTATATTTTCAGTTGTTTCCTCTGTTTATGTTTTTTTTTTTTTTTTTTAATAGTCATCACTATTGGATCTGTATTTCTTGCTTTAAATATTCTATAAATTCATTAGCATGTTTTTAGATTATCCGAGCTTGTATAGTAATCTTGTTCATAGGAGATTTAGGAGCTAGTGAAAATGTTCCAATTTATTAGTGCGATATTGCAAATTATTAATTTGCGAAAATGCATAATTATATAGAGCTAGTTCTGGAATCTGCATAATTATATTGAGCCATTTTTGGAGCCTTTGCGATTCATAAAGTTGTAAGTTTATATTGCTAAATTTAGTTAGTTTTTGGTTTTAGAAGTATATGGTATATTGTTTAGCTACATATTGGACAGGTGACCTTTGCAAATTGGACAGGTTTGCAAACCACTAGTACAAAAAACGTTTTTCAAGTCTCCTATAAAATAGTTTTCAGTAACTGTGAAAGTCCTCCGCTTTTCAAGACACCCGTACAGGGTGACGCGGAAAGCAGAGGAAGATTTGTTTTTTTTTTTTTTATCAGACTTTCCAAGGCACCTGCTCTGCTACAGGTGCCGCGGAAAGTCATTTATTATTTTTTTATTAATTTGTTTCCGAGGGTGTCTCGGAAATCTATTTTTTTTTATTAATGTGTTTCCGAGACACCCACTCACAGGTGGGTGTCGCAAAAAAACTATTTCTTTTTTTTTTTTTTAATTAATTACTTTCCGCGTCACATGTGCAATTCTGTAGTAGTGAATTGCAGTATATTGTTTAAGCTAAAATGGTCATCCATTAGCTTCGGCGTTGGTGTTAAAATGAATGGTAAAACTGAAAATTTAGGTTTTACACTCCAATTTAAAGCAATCTGTGATTCCTTTCAGCAGCCTGTGCACATATTTCTTCAAATTAATTTTTTACTCTCCTAAATCTACAATCAAAATGTTGGATAATTAACTAGAAGACCAAAAGAAATCATCTTCAACTTCATCCACAAACTTTCCAAGGCAAAGATTTCCGGATGCACATTGGCCAAATTAAAACAAAACTTAAACGACAGTATCTGAAGACTTTGTGCCCCAGTGAAGTTCGGTTTTTCCCCAAGTTGGTTACAATAATCAAGCCTTAAGATCCTCATGCACCTAAAATGCTATTGAAACAAAGTAGAAGGTTTTAATCAACTTTAGTAGTACTATTCCAAGTTTTAATTAGAAAATATGCAATGTTAAAAGAAGCATTACTAGACACACAAACCTGCATATTCAGTCGAAATTCCTCGATATTGCTATTATGCAAGTCTAAAGCAGCAAGTTTCTCAAGGTGAAAATTATAAGATGTTATGCATCTCAAATTGCATTAGCAAGGGTTGTCTTTCCTATACCACCCATGCCACAAATTCCAATCATTGAACTATATCCTTTGTTCGATTTTGCAATAAATGAAGTATATCACTAACATGAGAATCAATTTCGACAGGGTGCTTTGCAACATTCATGTGAGTACGATTTACTTCCCTTAGTATCTCTTCGGTAATTTTCTTGATAAACTTTGATTCATATCTAATTAAAAAAATAAATAAATAAATAAATAAATTTATTACTGAATATAACGTCAATCTATAATGTTAAAGAAAATAAAGGCAAAAACACAAAACTAAGAAATGAAATTGAAGGCATGATACAAGACATTAAAACACTCGAGTCTACCAAGTTGAAGAAAATTCAAGCTTCTTTAAAATAAAAAACTGTAAGTAGAGTTACTAGTAGAAATGTATAGATTCTAGAAGGAAAAATATAATTAGCAAAACTAATATAATATTAATTGCTATATGATCGAGTGTGCCAATGACAAATATCTAAAAATAAAAGGAAATTGCAGGGAAGGCCTTGTGGATGTCCTTGTCTGTTTCTGTTGCATATCAAATACCTAAAGTATGGCAAATTAAGGATGGAATTCTTGATACACTCTGATCTGATCTTCCATACTTAGCTTCTTCTTCTTCTTCTTCTTCTTCTCCACACTGCATTATTCATATATCTCCAACCCAAGCTAAGCTGAGGCACCACTGGCTTTGCTTTCTGGTAGTGATACCAATCAACTCCGATCCAATCAAAGTCCATCTAAAATATATAAACGAATCCATGACTCGAAAACGTTGGAATAATGCAACAGACAAATGTTTTACATACTTAAAACAAATTAAATTCTTTGACATGTTGCCTTCACTCAGAGCAACATGCATGCCTGCATTATATATACTATGGCATTCCATATAAGAGTTAATTAATACCTGCAAAAGCATTATTACCATCTAATTATCTGCAGCTCCCTTTTCCTCTTCCTTTGTCAATCATTTCCCAGGGTCATAACAGAAGGAATGAATCCCCTTGTGAATGGAAAAAAATCCTCTCCATCTTCCTTATAGGAAGGAATGCATCCCCTTGTGGATGGAAAGATACGCACTTCCCCTTCTCTGTTCCTATGTATTTCAGCTACACAAAATATCTTCTGCAAATGATTGACTTCTAATACACCTCCAATACTTCTCCCACCATTATTGGAACCATACGCACTTCCCCATTTGTCCCAATTTCTGTTTACACTCCACCATTATATTTTCACCAGCTCGTCAAGGCACCATCTGGATTGGGCATAATATTTTGAAGAATACATTAATGGATTTTATATCTCAAACTCCTCAATGCCGGCTTCAACTGACTCATCTGAAATGTGCCTTTTTACCGGATCTCTTCTTCATCTCAAAAGGTTATAACCCCAGCTTCCCACAAGCTTGTGTAGAGATGATCGGCAAATGATCTCCATGTCTCGCCCTTAAAGCTCAAGAAGACAGCATACTTCTCATGAGAACGCGATGAAGAAGAAGAAGAAGAAGCCATAGTAGCTTGAATTGAAATTGAGATCACAACACTCTCTTTGCTTCTGTTAGTTTTTGCTTTTGCTAGCAGCTAGCTAGATATATGATTTCAACTTTCACTCAATAGCATTATTGGTCCATTCTTGCATTGATCTTCCATGCAAGGGTTGTCTTTCCTATACCACCCATGCTACATCAAAAAAAAAAAAAAAAAAAAAAAAAAAAAAAAAAATCATCTGAACTATATCATTTGTTCGATTCTGCAATAATTGAAGCATATCAGTAACACGAGAATCAATTCCGATAGGGTGCTTTGCAACATTCATGTGAGTAAGATTTACTTCCCTTAGTATCTCTTCAGTAATTTTCTTGATAAACTTTGATTCATATCTAATCAAAAATAATAAATAAATTAATTAATTTATTGAATAAAACGTCAATCTATAATGTTAAAGAAAATAAAGGCAAAAACACAAAACTAAGAAATGAAATTGAAGGCATGATACAAGACGGCAAATGTTTATGCCGTGGAACCGTGTCCACCTTTCAAGGTGGACACAGTTCCAAAATGGCGTCGTTTTGGTGGAAAACGACATTGTGTCAATAAAAAAAGTGCTTTCTTTTACCATTAACGGCGTTTGCTTATGTTCATAATTACAAAACTCTATGTTCATAATTATAGAACTCTATGTTCATAATTTTTGAACTCTGTATTCAAAATTATTGAACTCTATATTTACAATTACAGAATTCTATATTCATAATTATAGAATTCTATGTTCATATTTTTGAACTCCATATTCACAATTATTGAACTCTATATTCTCAATTACAGAACTCTATATTCATAATTATAGAACTCTATGTTCATAAGTTTGGAACTCTATATTCATAATTATTGAACTTTATATTCATAATTATTGAACTCTATATTCACAACTGCAGAACTCTATATTCACAATTTTTTATGTCGTTGAATTCTTTTGACAAATAAAAAAAAAAATCTGATTGGTGGAGGGAAAACGGTGCCACTAACGGCACCGTTACTCCTGAATTGCAGAACGGGGTCGTGTTGGACCCGTGTCCACCTTGATAAAAGACATTAAAACACTCGAGTCTTCCAAGTTGAAGAAAATTTGTTGAAACTCTAGGCCCTTTAGGAATGGGCCCAATAGGTTAATAGTATATTCCTATATAAATACTAGATATATGTACAGTTCTTTTCAGAGAATACAATGAATCCCTTTATTCTTCACATGGTATCAGATCCTAAACCCTAAATAAACCCTCTCTTTTCGTCGCCGCCACCGGAAGTGCCGCGACTGTTTCTTCGTTCCAACGCCCGCCTAGTGGTTTTTCTCCCAAACCAACACCACAGGCCTTCTTGGAACCTCTTCGCGAGCCTAGGGCTAAAGTCTCGTCGCCGTCCGCTACCGCATGCGCCACCAGCCATCGCCGTCCGCTACCACACGCGCCACTAGCCGTCGTTGGAATGATGTTTGGTTGCAGCATGGGAGGTTTGCATTCGATTGGCACTTCTCCAATAGTGTCGAATAGGGTCACGATGATGAAGGTAGGACTCTCATTGACATAATAAATAATATTCTCCTTTCCCGTGCTAGACTGGTTAAGAAATTTACTCTAGTGATTGATAATTATTATCCTGAGTTACATCATTCTGATTTCAATATGTGGTGTCTTTTTCTATAAAGACATGGTATCTGGTAGTGTTTTTCAGTTCCCTCATCTCTACCGGTCAACAGTCAACGCCGGTCAACTTCACCGGTCAACCATCCCTTGAGGCAAATTTTCTTGTCCTTTTGAATAATATTATGGCTTCATCTCTCACCAATGGTACCTCCTCTCTGTTGTGTCTCTCTCAAGCTAGTACCATAAGTACTTGGATTTTAGACACAGGTGCCTCGGATCATATTTCTGGTAATCTATCCCTTATGACTAATGTCACTAAGTCTAAGGTTTTGCCTATGGTTACCCTAGCTAATGGTCATCAAACACCAGCTGCTGGTGTTGGTCAGGCTTCTCCTATGCCATATTTCCCCTTAGATTCAGTTTTATATGTTCGTAATAGTCCTTTCAACCTTATCTCCGTGAGTAAAATCACTTGTACCCTTAATTGTTCCCCAACCTTTTGTGCTAATTTGGTTGTTGTGCAAGATCGTAGTACGGGGAAGGTGATTGGAACTGGGATTGAGTCACAAGGCCTCTATTACCTTCGTGGTTGTGATCTTGCTACCTGTGCTTCCACAGATTCTCACATGCTTCTCCATAGTCGTTTGGGCCACCCTAGTCTCTCCAAACTTCGACGGATAGTTCTAAATCTGTCTATAGAGTCATTAGACAGTGAGTCGTGTCACCTTGGAAAGCAATCATACAAGTCCTTTCCATGGAGAGTCAATAATCGGGTTGCGTCTCTTTTTTATTTAGTTCATACTAATGTTTGGGGTCCATGTCATGTAAATTTTACTTTGGGATTTCGTTGCTTTGTCACTTTTTACGGATGATTATTCTAGGTGTACTTGGGTGTTCCTTATGAAAGATCGTTCTGAGTTATTCTAGATTTTCCAAAATTTTTGTGCTGAAATACAAACTCAATTTGGTAAACCCATTCGTGTTCTGCGTAGTGACAATGATAATGAATCTCTCTAATCCCTTTCAGTCCTATATGACCTCTCAGGGTATGTTACACCAACGGTCGTGTGTTTACACACCTCAGTAGAATGGAGCAGCTGAGCGTAAAAATCGACAATTAGTTGAAATTGCCTGCACTATGATAGTACACTCTCATGTTCCTCATCATTTTTGGGTTGATGTTATCCTTACTGCGGGTTACTTGATAAATCGCATGCCATCCTCAGTACTAAACAATGATACCCCATATTCCATTGTGTATCCTTCGGTTGATCGTTTCCCTCTTCCACCTCGGGTTTTTGGGTGTGTTTGTTTTGTTCATCAAATAACTCCTAAAGCTGTCAGGTGTGTTTTCTTGGGTTATTCCCAGCTCCAAAAGGGTTATCGATGTTATTCTCCAGAACTTAAGTGTCGTTTTGTGTCTGCGGATGTGACTTTTATTGAGTCTACTCCTTTTTTTCTAGCCTTCACCAGGTGACACAATCTCTATTTCAGAGTTTCTCCCTCTTCCTTATCTTGGTCCACTTCCTCTTACCCAGGATCCTGTTCCTCTAACTGCTCATGACTGCCCCCTTCAAGTCTACCAATGTTGTCCATGCCTTGTGTCTATTGAGGTTCCTATTGACTCACCTATGCCACCCGATCCTCCGACTGCGGTTCCACCACTTCAACTGCAATCTGACATTGATCCCACTGAGGCACTCATTGCTATCCGGAAAGATACACGTTCTACTCGTAACCCTCATCTTATATATATACCATTTTGAGTTATCATCGTGTATCTTCCCCTTACTTTTCCTTCCTTTCTCACATTTCTTCTATGTCTATACCTAAATCCACTCGTGAGGCCCTCTCGGATCCAGGTTGCTGCCAAGCCATGTTAACAGAGGTGGAGGTCCTACAGTCTAGTGGCACATGGAGTTGGTCCCCCTCCCTCCTAGTAAAACTATTGTTGGTTGTAGGCGGATTTATACTGTGAAGGTGGGCCCTAATGGCAAGATTGATTGCTTTAAGGCACGACTGGTGGCAAAAGGCTACACTCAAATTTTTGGTTTGGATTACACTAATACTTTTTCTCTTGTAGCTAAAATTGCATCAGTTCGATTGCTTTTATCTTTAGCCGCTATAAATCATTGGGACTTACATTAGTTGGATATCAAGAATGCTTTTCTCCATGACGATCTTCAAGAGGAAGTTTATATGGAGCAACCACCTGGGTTTGTTACTCAGGGGGAGTCTGGTTTGGTATGTAAACTTCATCCCTCTTTAAATGGTTTAAAGTAGGTTCCACGAGCATGGTCTGGGAGATTTAGCTATGTGGTGTGTGAGTTTGGTATAACGAGAAGTGAAGTTGATCATTCTGTTTTCTATCGTTATTCTAACGGGAAATTCATATACCATGTAGTTTATGTGGATGATATTGTTATTACAGGGAGTGATCAAAATGACATATCTTAATTGAAAGAGTATCTCTTCAGTCGATTCCAAACCAAGGATTTGGAAAAATGACATATCTTAATTGAAAGAGTATCTCTTCAGTCGATTCCAAACCAAGGATTTGGAAAAACTAAAGTATTTTCTCAGGCTCATTCTAGCAGTGGTATAGTCATTTCTCAAAGAAAATATGTGGCCTTGAATATTTTAGAATAAACGGGTATGTTGGATTGTAGACCTGTAGATAATTCAATGGATCCGAACATTAAACTCCTACCAAGACAGGGGGAGACATTGCTTGACTGAGAACGATACAGGAGAGTAATTGGAAAATTGAATTATCTCACAATTACACAACCAGATAGTGTAAGGTATATGAAGAGAGCACTAGGGTAAGGTTTACTATACGAAGATAGAAGACATGCTCAGGTTGTTGGGTATTCTAATGCAGATTGGACCAGATGTCCATTTGACAAACGCTCTACTTCGCGTTGTTGTGTGTTCATTGGTGGTAATCTTATATCTTGAAAAAGTAAGAAGCAAGATGTTGTTGCCAGGTCCAGTGTTGAAGTTAAATACCGAGTTATGGCCCTTGCCACGTGTGAGCTCATGTGGCTAAAGCGCTTACTGCAAGAGTTGTAATGTGGCAATGTTGCTCAAATGACACTGATATGGGACAACCAAGTAGCTCTAGACATTGCTTCAAATCTAGTTAATCTTGAGAGGACCAAACACACCCAGGTTGATTGCCACTTCATCAGAGAAAAGATTGTGTCAGGGTGTAACAAGCTTGGAGCATATGATTTATTCTCTCCAGCTTGAGGGGAGTGTTGAAACCATAGGCCCTTTTAGAAATGGGCCCAATAGGTTAATAGTGGCAAATTATGTTGTGGACCCGTGTCCACCTTGGAAGGTGGATCCGGGTTATACTCACAATTTTTGAACATTCTATACACAATTTTTGAACTTTATATTCACAATATTAGAACTGAATATTCACAATTTTAGATCTCAATACACAAAATTACAAAACTCAATATTCGCAATTGTATAATTCTATATTAACAAATTTTTGAACTTTATATTTACAATTTTTGAACTCTATGTTCACAATTTCATAATCTCTATCCACAATTAAAGAACTCTATATTCAAACCATTTGGTCAGTCCCTTACCACTTAGTGTGATTACAATAGGGGCGAGGGATTAGTCTTTAGGCTATCGGCTGGAGGGATATCTTTGGGCAACCAAAAAAAAAGAACTCTATATTCACAATTACAAAACTGAATATTTACTCGGTGAGTTGTTTTCAATGATTTTTTTTTTTTTTTAAACATTGATTGTGAATATGCAGTTCTAAAATTATTAATATAGAGTTCAAAATTGTGAATATAACTTGGAACTACCTTACAAGGTGGACCCTGATCCATGGAATAACTATCCGTTAATAGTATACTCCTACATATATAGTAGATATCTATACCGTTCTTTTCAGAGAATACAATGAATATCATTATTCTTCACAAAATTCAACCTTCTATAAAGTAACAAAAAGCGTATTTCTTGTAAAAAACTAATTAACAATCCTCCTAAAACTAGATTGGTGATCAAAGTGTGGGAATGGTTCACTCTATATGGTGCGGAGAAAACTTATTGAATTTCTTGTTAGTAAAACTGAAAAGAGTGAATCAGAGAAATTACATCAACTTTGAACCAATATAAAATTCTCTCCTTCAAACCAATACTGCAAGTTAAGATTTTTGCTCAATTAGAGATTTATATAGCATTATAGTAATGGATACTTAAAGTTTCAAATATGACCATCAAAAATTTAAATAACACTTTGGTGTTGTAGAGTAAAAATATTATTTTCAATTCCATAGAAATTTTATTACAACTATGATTTTCGATCAATAAATTTGAATCCATGGGTAAAAATTTATAGATTCTAGAAGGAAAAATATAATTAGCAAAATATATGAAATTGAAAATATGAGAATACCATCCAGACAAATATATAAAAATAAAGGAAATTGAAATGAGATAGGATTATCCATTTGCCGTGGTTTGTAAATCCCATCCAGACAAATTAACAGCCTCATTGAGTGCAACTTTCCACTCATTTACTTTTTGATCCCCAAATCGTTTTCTATGTTGATTCAAAGCATCACCAAACTTTCCTGTTTGATTGCGAACCTCGGAAGGATCAACGTCGTAGAATATAGGAATAACCATTTGGTGCAAATTTTGTTTACATTCTAAGATCTTCACCAATTCATCAAGACACCATCTTGATTGGGCATAATTTTTGGAGAATACAATGATGGATATCTTTGATCCTTCGATGGCCTTCAACAACTCAACATAAATGTTTTCACCTTTCGAGATTCCTTCGTCAACCAGAAATGTGTTAACTCCAACTTGACACAAATTTGTATAGAGATGATCAACAAAAGATTTTCGTGTCTCCCCTCTAAAACTCAAGAAAGCATCATACCTCCCATGAGCAGTCGATGAAAAAGCCATACCTGAAATTGAGTACACTATATTCTGTCTTGATTTGCTAGCAGCTTGCCTGGTAACATAAATTATATATAAAGAGTTAGGGGAACGGGTGAGCAGAACAATGCCTAGGCTGTCAAATTTTGTATTTATACGTAATATAGTGTTTGAAAATAATGGCCGGCCTTCTTGTAGAACAACTCATTTGATGCAACCTATGTAGCCCAACAAGGAAAACAAGAATGGCGAAAGCACCTATGAAACAAAACATGAAAAAATGTGCTTTTATATATATATATATATATATATATATATATATATATATATATATATATATATATAAAAGAGCGCTCATATGTGGTCATGTCATTAGGTGTGGTTGTGTGGTCGTATCTGTGTCGTTGAATCAGTTTAATCTAACGGCAGTGGTAATTTTGAGAATTTTCGCGCGTTTTGGTAAGTGGGGTGTTATGGTAATTACAGTGGCCATTTATAGCGGGCGGGTTCCAGAATACACCAACAGTGTTGACAACATACACCAATAGTGTAATAAAACACACCACAGTGGAACACACCAATGGTGTATTCCCGTGTTATGGTAATTACAGTGGCCATTTATAGCGGCCGGGTTCCAGAATACACTAACAGTGTTGACAACATGCACCAATAGTGTAATAAAACACACAACAATATGATTTTCCCTATTCCGGTGTTTTATGACGAGTTTACCCTTGCAGTTCGCTGGGTAGGAGAATGTGCGCGAAAATACTGGAAAAATCTTGATTAATATGATTCATTGGATCTATCTAATCTAATGGCCTATAATTGACCATATGACCACACCTAACAACATGGCCACATGTTATATATATATATATATATATATATATAGTGAAAGGTTCCCGTGCGGTTGAATGCTTCCCGTGCGGATGTGCGGTTGATTAATGTGCGTGAGATTTGTACTCAATGTGCGTGAGTGTTGTGTGCTTAATGTGCCTGAGATTTGTACTTAGTGTGCGTGAATGTGTAAAATGCAGCAGAAAATATGGATGTCAGCTTCTTCCCCATCCCCAGTTGCCATTGCCCCCTCCCTCCCTGATGATGATGATGCGGAGGCGGGCTATGGTGGTTAAGAATTATGGGAATAATACAACAGAAATCCACACTTAGCTGGTGTGCAAATTTTGCTATGCACGCGTCATATATACAAACATTCAACTGCACTGAAGGTAGCTGATAATCCAAAATCCATGACCAAATTGAAGGAAGAAGTAACAAGAAGCTTGGGCGTTAATGTGCGTCAGTTTTCTGTTCTGCTTCCTTCTGAGCTCGTAATTCTGAACTACTCACGCACATTAAGCACAAATCTCACGCATATTAAGCACAATACTCAGACACATTAAGTACAAAATTCACGCATATTAACATTACGCACATTAAGTACAAATCTCAGGCACATTAAGCACAACACTCACGCACATTAAGTATATAAACCTCACGCACATTAATCCACCGCACAACCGCACGGGAAGCCACAAATGCACCCAATCCCTTCCCTATATATATATATATATATATATATATATATATATATAGGGATGAGATCTAGTGCGAAGAGTCCTCAAGGTGAAACATGCTGTGAGATCTGAGCCATTACTGCCAACTACCTCAAAATCAACTCTGATTTTCCATACTTAGCTTGTTCTTCTTCTCCACACTGCAACCCAACCTGAGGCACCACTGGCTTTGCTTTCTGCAGGTACTGATCGATACCAATCAACTCCGATATGATCCATTGCCTGCAGTGACCAAATTAAAATGAAAGTCCATCGAAAACATATAAACGAATCCATGCCTCGAAAACGTTGGAATAACGCTATTTCATACCAAACAAAAAATTATTTTTATATGAAAATATAAATAGCATAGTTTATTCAACCTAATATATCTTGTAGAAGATTGTCAACTAACATGCTCATCTGTCAGCATTGAGAAGAGGGAGGAGACTGTCCGGCCAAGAGATGGCTCATATCATACTTTACTTTGTTTCTTTACTTCTTATGTGCGACTGCACGTTCACATCCAGTATGTACAGGTTCGACTTGAAGCTTTTTGGTCCAATTCTTATCTTCGATCCCTTATGTTTCCATCATCCAATTGACTCCATCTCCAGCCAAATGGTATAAAAATCACTCATGTATAATTGCTTTGATCAAGAGAAATTGTACCTAGCTATCCACACAAACAAAGCAAATAAAAGCTCTTTTGAACAAGGTTAAATATGAGCTGAGGTAAAATAAGATCAAATACAAATTTGAAGTCATCATTTTAATCATTTAGTGGGACTTTAATCAAAATAAATAAAGAATATATAAAAATGTGATAATCCAAATACTACAGTGGGTTCAATTCATTCATAAATTAAAAATAATAATAAATATTAAAATGTTATTAAATAAACAACTAACAAAAGATGTAGTCCATTAAAGAGGTGTCAAGTGTGATTGTGTAGTGAAGGATATACATATACTTACAAAAGCTGAAGCTGAAGACGGGTTTGCTAAGCATATCTCTAACTATCCTTATTATGGTTGATGAAATTATAGGAAGGAATGCATCTCCTTGCGGATGGAAAGAAACGCACTTCCCCTTCTCTGTTTCTATGTATTTCAAATACACAAATTATCTTCTGCAAAGGATGGACTTCTACATACACTTCCAATACCTCTCCCATCATTGTTGAAATCTCAAAAGGAATCAAATCATACCCATTGGCTTCAATGTTAATATATTTGGGTTCCTTTAGAATCCAAGCACCACTGCTTTTACTTCTCACACTCAAACCAATTCTATTGCGACCATGATCATCATAATCAATTTCACTGCAGGGATCAATCACATTGTGCTTGATTTCAAAGAATTCAGTCGTTAAAGGAAAATAGCAGGATAGCCCCCCAAAGCGCACTCGATCCACAATCTCGATACTATCACCTTTAGAACGTGCCTACATTATGGAATACATACATACAATATGACAATTAATAATACCATAACTATTACCATCTAGTCTAATATAATATCATATCGAGATGCAGGAAACATACATACATATATATATAACTAACCTTGAACCACTTTTCAATAGAAGGAATCCTCAAATCACTGCAATTTGCTATTCCAAGACTACCTAATAAGGATGAAAGACTCTCCAAGCCTGAAAGCTCAAACAAACATTTGCAATTATGAATACCTAGCCATTTAAGTCTTTTCAAGTTTGATAGATCTGCTATTTTTTCAAGTTTGCAATTCCTTATGTCAAGCATTTCTAAGCATGAAAGACTCTCTATGTTTGGAAGCTCAACCAAACTTTTGCAGTTTTTAAGACACAACACTACAAGTCTCTTCAAGTTTGATATATCTGCTATTTTATCCAATGATACACAATTTTTTGCAGAGAGTATCTTCAAACTAGGAGGAAGTTCTTCAAGTACTCTAAGATTTTGCAAATTGTCCAACGAGAGAAATTTCAAGTTGATAAAATGACAAAGGCCGATGAACCAGTTTTGAAGATCTACTTCATTGCAATTCCTTATGTCAAGCTCTACTAAGGATGAACGACTCTCCATGTTTGGAAGCTCAACCAAACTTTTGCAGTTTTCAAGACACAACACTTTAAGTCTCTTCAAGTTTGATACAGCTACTATTTTTTCCAATAAAACACAATTTTTTGCAGAGAGTCCCTCCAAATTAGGAGGAAGTTCTACAAGTACTCTAAGATTTTGCAAATTATCCAACCAGAGAAATTTCAAGTTTGAAAGATGACAAAGGCCGAAGGGTAAGCTTTGAAGATAACTTCTTCCGGATAAATTTAAATATACCAATGAGGTCAAATTCTCAATAACTTCCAAGGACCACAAATTTGCAACTGAAGGTGGAAAAAAACCAACACCATAACGACTTCTTCTTGACAAGAATAGAGGTGATTTTGATTTTGATAATATCGAACTCCTATACTCCCCCAGATATAGTGTCCTTAGATTTCTTAAACATCCCAAAGAAAATGGTATATGTGAGATGGCAGTTCTACGAGCAAGTAAATCTCTTAGATGCTCTAATTTTCCCAAGTCAATTGGAAGCTTCCCTAGTTTTTCGCATTCATCTAAACGTAAAACTTCAAGTGATTTTAACTTGCAAATGCTACTTGGAAGAACCTTGAGTTTCTTGCAACTTTCGAAATCTAACTCAATAAGTCTCTCCAAACTTCCAATTGTTGGGTGCACCTTGGTCAAATTTGAACAATACACAAAGGATACTTTTTGAAGAGCATGTACCCCAGTGAAGTTTGGTGTTTTCTTAAGTTGTTCACAATAATCAAGCTTTAAGATCCTCAAGCATCTAAAATGCTGTTGAAAAAAAATAGAAAAAGGTTTAATCAATTTTTATTTTTCTAGTCAAAGTTCTTAATTAAGAAATATGAAGAAACATTAGACGTACTAACCTCCATATTGAATTGGAATTCTTTGATATTGCTACGTTTCATGTCAAACTCAACAATTTTCTCACAACAAAGATTAGATGGTATGCAACTCAAATGGCAATTGTGTAATCTAAACAACCTAAGCTCATTGGATAAATATTTAAAAGATCCGCTGAGACGCATACCATTCAATATGAGTATTCGTAACTTTACCATCCTTTTGAATACTTGAGTATTCAAAGACACATTCTTTAATATGTTAGAATTACAATCATCCCTTCAGTTGTTGTCAACAAGCACCTTTCAGTCAAAATTCTTATTCCACTTTTAGCATAAAAACCACAAGCTTCCAATATCATAGAAGTGTCATTTTTGTTATGCCCAATAAAAAAATAAGCAATATCTAGAAAGATATTCCGAGTATCATCATCAAGTGAATCATAACTTATTTTAAGAATTTTTTGAACATCATCATGAGGTATCCCTCTTAATTTCTCAGCATCATCACTCCATTCTTGCACTGATTTGCCATGCAAATGAGAACCTATAATTGTAAGTGCTAGTGGAAGTCCACATGTATAACTTGCTATCCTTTTGGATAGTCCAATATACTCCTCTAATGGTATAGGAACACCAAAAGCATGCCAACTCAAGAGTTGCAATGATTCATCAGGGTTAACATTTCTACATTCTATTTCTCGTGTGCTTCCATGTCACTCAACAACTGAACATCTCGAGTTGTTATTATAATTGTGCTTCCTGGACCAAACCAATTCCGTTGTCCAGCTAATGATTCTAGTTGAGTAGTATTGTCTATGTCATCAAGAACAATAAGAACAATTTTTGATCGTAGTCTTTCTTTAATCAAACTTATTCCTTCGTCAACATTATCTATTTCAAGTTTCTTTCTGTTGAGTGTTTTGCAAAGAAGTTTCTCTTGTAAATGAACTAAACCATGATGCCCTTCAGAAACTTGTGATCTAATGTTTGCAATAAAGCAGCAACCTTCGAACTTCTGAAAACTCAAGTTGTAAATGGCTTTAGCAATGGTTGTTTTTCCCACACCACCCATGCCAAAAATTCCAAACATTTTGATATCATCATGTCTTTGAGTTTGCAATAAATGAAGTATATCTCTGACACGAGATTCAATTCCAACAGGATACTTTGCAACATTCATGTATGAATTATGATTCACTTCCCGCAATACCTCTTTAGTAATTTTTTTGATCAACTTTGATTCATACCTATACATTATTTCCAATTAATGCCAATCTAAATCATTAAGAAAATATACGTGGAAAACAGAAATCTAAGAATGTGTTTGGGTGAAACTTGGAAATCTGAATTGGAATGATAATCAAATACTTGGTAATGGTAATTGGTTTTGGGAGAAAGTATTTTGTATGTTTGGTAGTAGGGTGAAATTGAAATGATTATTACCAATATTGATGTTTGGGTATGTACGACCCTATAATGAAAATAAATGTTTTAAAAATACAAAAACAAAAATCAAGACAATTGATCATAATATAATGATATTCAAAGCAACAATATGTACAAAAAATCTGAAGGATGTAGTGAGGAAGCGACAGATCGAGAGGTGACAAATGTGGAAGGATAAGAGGGAATGATACCCGTTTTAATTAGCGAATGTGATTTTTAATTGAAGGAGTAATCAAATTTCATAAATGTGTTTAAAAAATTGTCAACAAAACAATAACTATGATTTTAATTCTCATTCCTGGTATGCACACTCATGAAATTAGTCGCTCATGATTCCATTGCTTGAGGTAAACAACTCTTAATAATATTTTTATCAACGGATATAAGAATCAATCCATAATTATAATTTCTAAAAGGAAATAATACTTATGACAAATAATTGAAATGCACAGGGCAGATTCTTCTTGTTTTACCAAAAAATATTAATCCATCTTTAAAGATGCATGTATAGATGCTAGAACGCAATTTTTTGTTAGCAAAACTAACATAACTAATATTATTGAGAATATGAGTTAGTGAGCCAAATTGTGACAAATATATCATACTATTAAAAAAAAATGAAAAGAGGATTATTTACCCGTTTGTCATGGTTTGCAAATCCCATCCGGACAAATCAGCAACACTAGTGAGTGCAACCTTCCACCCATCAACTCTTTGATCATCAAATTGTTGTCGATGTTGAGCTAATGCCTTACCAAATTCGCCTGTTTGTTTACGAACCTCTGAAGGATCAACATTGTAGAATATAGGCAGAACCATCTGTTGCAAATTTTTCTTACAGTCAAGAATCTTTACCAGTTCATCAAGACACCATCTGGATTGGGCATAAGTTTTGGAAAATACAATGATGGATATCTTGGATCCCTCGATGGCCTTCAATAGCTCATCAGAGATGTTCTCACCTTTTCGGATTTCATCATCGTCCTGAAAGGTGTTAATTCTAGCCTGACACAAATCTTCATAGAGATGATCAGTAAAAGATTTTCGTGTCTCTCCTCTAAAACTCAAGAATACATCATACACCCCAGCAGTAGTAGATGAAGAAGAAGAAGAAGAAGCCATATTTGAAATTGAGAACACTATCTTCTATTTTGATTTGCTAGCTAGCTAGTTTCGAAAGATTTAAAGAGCTTGGAAAATGTATGTGTACACAGATGATAACGTAATGGAAATTCCTTCCAGACACTGCCAAACTCAATGGAAATTTCTTAGATCTGTGAATAATAAAGTCAATGTGGAGCAGCAATATGAATAGGACAACAGCAGCCATTTCTACAGGAAAGTGCAGCAGCAATTTGAACAAGAAATTTGCAGCAGAAATCGCAATAGTGCAGCAGAATATGTTACTTGGGGCCGGGGTGTTTAAATTCAAGGTAGGAATGTTTCTGTCAAAGAATGCCAAACTCAAAAGGAAATTTCTTAGTTAATAGATTAGTGGGGCCGGGGTAGGGATGGCAACGGGGCGGGGCGGGGGCGGGGAGTATACTCCCCGTCCCCGTCCCCGAAACCCCGACCCCATCCCCGTCCCCGTCCCCATTCCCGGCGGGGAATTGAAAATAACCCCCATCCCCATCCCCGCGGGGAATTAGGTGGGGACGGGGATTCCCCGATCCCCGTTCAATTCTTAATCAAAATTTTAAATTAGTATAATTTTTAATTTTAAAAATTAAAAATTTAAATCTTAATTAATTATATATATATATATATATATATATATATATATATATATATATATATATATATATATATATATATATATATTATTTATTTATTTATTATTATTAATTATTCGGGGACGGGGACGGGGACGGGGCGGGGCGGGGAGGGGTATCCTCGTCCCCGTCCCCGTCCCCGACGGGGAGTTATAAACATTCCCCATCCCCGTCCCCGTTCCCCGAAAATTTGCAACATCCCCATCCCCGTCGGGGCGGGAATCGGGGATCCCCAACGGGGACGGGGCATATTGCCATCCCTAGGCCGGGGTGTACTAAAAGTCTAAAAGTAATTAAAGATTTAAAAAGTAAGTTAAAGGTGATGGATGATTTAAACTTTTCAAATTTCATATTGGAAAATTCCTACCTATGAATATGATGGCAAAACACCAATGAATTTTTTTAGATAATAACCTCTACATTAAATTATTACTCCATAGTCCATACGTACTTATAACCTATTAGGGCTAGGGATGGTTAGATACCCACTATTACAAATGAACACCTCAAAATTTTATTATAATTACATTGTGTGAACCAATCAATCCCAAAACGTAATTAAGCACCTAAATTAAGAAAAGCTTCAATTAGACGTGTTAAATCCACATTTTTATGCAATAAAATTGATTAACAGGTTACCTTAGATAATTGGTAAAAATGTATATTTTGTAATTAAAAAATTAATTAAACTTTAGAAAATCTATTATTAAATTTAAATAACTTATTTAAAATAAAAAAAAAAATTCCTCGGTCCAACTGAAGCTCATTGTCCAGATCAAGAGCGTCATACTAACCCTTGCCCCTTCAACCAAAAGCACAACCATATCCACTGCCATGTTCTCCTCCCGCGCCATATCCACCAGGCCACCAGCTCACACAGCACCATGGTCTCCCTCAACAGCATAGCCTCCACGGCTCCACCACCATCCCACCATACCTGGTTCCACCGCATTCTCCACCCACATAACCAAAATCGTGGCCGCCTACATAACTGTTTCCTCTACCTCAACCACCACTGAGAAAGGAGTCCTCTATGCTGATCATGGGCACACAAGTGTTGAGGCGTTCTCCGATGCAAATTGGGTTGGGTCACCTAGTGACATGAGGTCGATGACAAGATATTGTGTGTTTGTGGGAGGCAATTTAGTCTCGTGGAAGAGTAAAAAGCAGAGCATTGTGGCTCGGTCGAGTTCAGAACTCGAGTATAGAGATATGGCTTATGTGACCACTGAAATAGTTTGGGTGCATAATATTCTAAAAGAGGTATGTCTGGTGGTGAAGTTACCTATTAGGTTGTGGTGTGACAATCGTGCAGCTATACATATCACAAACAATTCAGGACAAAACATATTGAGGTTGGTTGTCATTTTATACGAGAGAAAGTACAACAAGGGTTGATATATGTTGTGCACATTCATAATGGTGATCAGTTCAGCTTGCTGATGTTTTCACAAAAGGGCTAAGTGGGAGTTGGATTTCATATACATGTAATAAGTTGGGTAAATTTAATATCTATGCTCCAGCTTGAAGGTATGTAAGTGGCGGGTGAGAGAATCACTCTCAGCCCTTAGATTTAAATGTTTGAATTCTGTGGCTCAATTATATTCCTACCTTAGCTTGTATTGTATAAGTAGCTCCTTTCTCAAGATCTTTTCCAAGCACTGCTTAGCTCAATCAAACAGCGATTAGCGCTGTTACGTTGTAGAGGTAACAATAAATCCGAACCACCGATTGAGAGTCACTGTACTGATTGCTAAGCCTGAATTTGATACTGTCGTTTTGGACTACCAAAAGATGCAGTTGTTTGATCAAATTCCAGGAAACCCCTTGGGGATGGAAAGAATCGCACTTCCCCATCTTTGTTTCTTTGTATAGCACATAAACAAAGTATATACGAAGAATGAAACTCTGCATACACCTCCAATTCTTCCCCAATAATGATTGGGATCTCAAACTCAAATCCTTCCTCGTATTCATCGTCTTCACTGTCAATATACTCACTTTCCTTTATGATCTGAGCCTGAGAACCAGCGCTTTTGCTTCTCACAATGATCCTAACTCCATAAAAGCTTGAGTGTAAATCATCCTCAAAAAGGATATTTAAGTATTGACGCCTTGCAAGTTTTGTATCACCCAAATATACAGAAGCTCGAAATACACTAAACCAAATCTTCACACTATCGCCTTCCGAAGGCACCTATATATATTATGTAATGAAACATAACAATGCCATCTAAATTAATACTAGTGCAAAACACCAAATAATGGGTGAGGACGGATCTCTTGTGAGTTTCGTGCAATATTCTAAATTTAACTTGACGAGTCTGTCTAAACTTCCAATTGATGGGTGCACCTTGGCAAAATTAGAACAAAACTTAAATGACAGTATCTGAAGACTTTGTGCCCCAGTGAAGTTCGGTGTTTCCCCAAGTTGATTACAATAATCAAGCCTTAAGATCCTCATGCACCTAAAATGCTATTGAAACAAAGTAGAAGGTTTTAATCAACATTAGTACTACTATTCCAATTTTTAATCATAAAATATGCAATATTAAAAGAAGCATTACTAGACACACAAACCTGCATATTCAATCGAAATTCCTCGATATTACTATCCTGCAAGTCTAAACCAACAAGTTTCTCAAGGTGAAAATTAGATGGTATGTGCCTCAAATTGCATTTATTCCACAGGAACAGTGGAACCACCTAAGCTCGCTGGACAAACATTTTAAAGATCCTCTGAGTTGCACATTATCCAATTGGAGTATTCGTAACTTTACCATCCTTGAGAATACTCTTGTACTCAAAGGAACATTATTTAACATATTAGAATTTATCATCATCCTTTCAATTGCTTCTGTTCCCTAATTTTATTTAAAAAAAAAAAAAAAAAAAAAAGAGCAATGTTTTATGCATTCTGAAACTTTTCAAAAGTATTACAAGCGGCAAATGAGTTAACTAGAATAACTTAAAGTAGAAAGGAAATGTTATACCTTGTTGCATTGAAGCACATCAAATACATCCTCTGGGTTGAATATTCTACTTCGTCTGCCAGGTTCTCGTGGGAATTCCTTTCGAACAATTTCTTTTCCCATATCTCGTACTAAATCATGCATCTTGAGAATCTCATTTTCTCCAACTTCATCTATCGTTAACAAACATCTTTATATCAAAGTTCTAATTCCACTATCAACATGAAAACCACAAGCTTCTAATACCATAACAATGTCTTTCTTGTTTTGTCCAACGAAAAAACAAGCAATATCGAGAAAGATGTTTTGGGTATCATCATCAAGTCCATCATAGCTTATTTTAAGAATGTTTTGAACATCTTCATGAGGTATCCTTCTTAATTTATAAGCATTATTGGTCCATTCTTGCATTGATCTTCCACGCAAGTGAGAGCCTATAACTTTAATTGCTAATGGAAGACCACCAGTATAATTTACTATCATTTTGGATAATTCATTGTAATCCTCTAATGGTATATGGACACAAAAAGCATGCCAACTTAAGAGTTCCAAAGATTCATCAAAACTTAAAGTTTTGACCATATACTTTTCATGTGCTCCAAGGTCACTCAATAGATGAAAATCTCTAGTTGTTATTATAATTGTGCTGCTTGGACCAAACCAATCACATTGTCCAACTAATGATTCTAGTTGACTTACTTGATCTATGTCATCAAGAACAATAAGTACCCTTTTTGATTGCAACCTTTCTTTGATCAAACTTATCCCCTCGTCGACATTATCTATATCAAAGTTCTTTCTCTTAAGTGTTTTAGTTAGAAGTTTCTCTTGTAAACGAACTAGACCCTTGTGTCCCTCAGAAACTTCTGACTTAATGTTCGCAATAAAGCAGCTACCTTCAAACCTTTGAAAACTCAAGTTGTATATTGCTTTAGCAAGGGTTGTCTTTCCAATACCTCCCATGCCAAAAATTCCAATCATCTGAGCTGCATCCTTTGTTCGATTTTGCATTAAATGAAGTATATCACTAACACGAGATTCAATTCCGACAGGGTGCTTTGCAACATTCATGTGAGTACGATTTACTTCCCTTAGTATCTCTTCAGTAATTTTCTTGATAAACTTTGATTCATATCTAATCAAAAAATAATTTTATTGAATAAAACATCAATCTATAATGTTAAAGAAAATAAAGGCAAAAACACAAAACTAAGAAATGAAATTGAAGGCATGATACAAGACATTAAAGAACTCGAGTCTACCAAGTTGAATAAAATTCAGCCTTCTTTAAAATAAAAAACTGTAAGTAGAGTTACTAGTAGAAAGAGCAAAGTAACAAAAAGGGATTTTTTTTGTAAAAAAAAAAAAAAATTAACAATCATAAAACTAGATTATTGGTGATCAAAGTGTTGAGTTTGTCTCATATATGGATTAGGAATAAGTGTTTGTCTCATACTAGAAGTAGGAGTGAAACGGGTAGACCTATTGTATAGGGATTGGATGCCTATAAAGATATTGGTTGTATCCCTAAAGGGTTGTGTCACCACTATCATCATCACTATGAATAAGAGTATTGTTTCACTCCCGTGGATGTAGACACATTGCCGAACCACGTAAATCTTGTCTTCTTTACCTTTCTGCCATTATTATTTTTCTTGTTCTTGTTAATCTCAAAAAATTGGTATCAGAGCATAGTTGAGATGGATAGTTCAAGTACAAAATTCGAGGTATCAAAGTTTGATGGTATAGGGAATTTTGGGTTATGGCAGTCTAGGGTAATGAATTTGTTGGTTTACCAGGGCCTTCTGAAAACCTTGAGGGCGAAAAATCCAGCAAATTTGGAAGAGGCTGATTGGAAGGAGTTGAAGAAGCAGGAAGCTACGGATGTGGTACGTGCTAATGAGTCTTATTATAGTGAAGGTGATGTTCTAGCAATTACAAGCAACAAGTTCGAACAATGTTTGGACTTGTTGGATGCTTCTAGATGCTAGATGAGAAAGTGGTGAGGGGCGCTGTAGTGTTGGGCAGCGCAGATACCAGGAGGGGTCGCGGACCTGGTATGAGTCGGGTTTGTCATGAGTCACGATTGGTATGGGCCGGGTTTGTCATGAGTCACGGCTGGTATGGGTCGGGCTTGTCATGAGTCACGGTTGGTATGGGTCGGGCTTGGCATGAGTAACGGCTGGTATGGGCCAGGCTTGGCATGAGTCACAGCTGGTGTGGCGGATTGCTTGGAACAAAGCGGTTCGTGAACATGCACTGGGAAACGTTTGATGCTGCGTTGTGCGTGTTGCTGGCCAGTGGTAATTGCTGGTTAGTGGAGCATTGGGCAAGGCACACGAGTTTAGTGTGACTTTGCAGGGGCGCTGTTGTGTTGGGGCAGCGTGGATACCAGGAGGGGATATGGACCTGGTATGGGCTGGATGCAGGAAGTCAGCTGAACGGGGCAGTTAGCATGAGTCGCGGCGGTATAACAGGTCGACGGCTGCGGGGCGAATGGCTTGGAACAAAGCGGTTCGTGTACATGCACTGGGTAACGTTTGATGTTGTGTATGCATGTGGCTGGCTAGTTGGGATGAGCATGGTTGTTCCTACCCATGTGTATATGTGAGATAAGTTTTTTTCTCCTAAGGGGCATAATTGTGAAGGTGGAGGTGTTGAGATAAGTCTTTTCTCCTAAGGGACATATTTGCTAAGGTGGAGATTTGTTGAGTTATCTTTTTCTCCTAAAGGACATATTTGCGAAGGTGGAGATAGTCTTTTCTCCTAAAGGGCATATATGTGAAGGTGGAGATGGTGAGATAAGTCTTTTCTCCTAAAGAGCATATTCTTCAAGGTGGAGATTTGTTGAGTTATCTTTTCTCCTAAAGAACATATTTGCAAAGGTGGAGATTGTTGAGTTTGTCTCATATATGGATTAGGAATAAGTGTTTGTCTCATACTAGAAGTAGGAGTGAAACGGGTAGACCTATTGTATAGGGATTGGATGCCTATAAAGATATTGGTTGTATCCCTAAAGGTTGTGTCACCACTATCATCATCACTATGAATAAGAGTATTGTTTCACTCCCGTAGATGTAGACACATTGCCGAACCACGTAAATCTTGTCTTCTTTACCTTTCTGCCATTATTATTTTTCTTGTTCTTGTTAATCTCAACACAAAGTGTGGGAATGGTTCACTCTATATGGTGCAGAGAACACTTACTGAATTTCTTCTTAGTAATAAAACTGAAAAGAGTGAATCAGAGAAATTACATCAACTTTGAACCAATATAAAATTCTCTCACTCAATGTGTATAATCCTTCAAACCAATACTGCATGTTAAGATTTTTGCTCAATTGGAGATTTATATAGCAATGAATACTTAAAATTTTAAACATGACTATCAGAAATTTAAATAATATTTTGGTGTTGTAGAGTAAAAAATATTATTTTAAATTCCATAGAAATTTTATTACAATTATGATTTTCGATCAATAAATTTGAATCCATGGGTAAAAATGTATAGATTCTAGAAGTAAAAATATAATTAGCAAAACTAATATAATATATAATATATAAAATAAAAGGAAGTTGAAATGAGATAGGATTACCCATTTGTCATGGTTTGTAAATCCCATCCAGACAAATTAGCAGCCACATTGAGTGCAACTTTCCACTCATTTACTTTTTGATCCCCAAATCGTTTTCTATGTTGATTCAAAGCATCACCAAACGTTCTTGTCTGATTGCGAACCTCTGAAGGATCAACATCGTAGAATATAGGAAGAACCATTTGGTTCAAATTTTGTTTACATTCCAAGATCTTCACCAATTCATCAAGACACCATCTAGATTGGGCATAAGTTTTGGAGAATACAATGATGGATATCTTAGATCCTTCGATGCCCTTCAACAGCTCAACAGAAATGTTTTCACCTTTCGAGAATCATTCATCATCCAGAAATGTGTTAACTCCAGCTCGACACAAATCTGTATAGAGATGATCAACAAAAGATTTTCGTGTCTCCCCTCTAAAACTCAAGAAAACATCATACATCCAATGAGCAGTTGATGAAAAACCCATACCTGAAATTGAGTACACTATATTTTGTCCTGATTTGCAAGCAGCTTGCCTGGTAACATAAATTTTAAAGAGTTAGGGGAACAAGTGAGCAGAATGATGCCTAGCTAGGCTGTCAAATTTTGTATTTTTATGTAATGTAGTTTTTGAGAATAATTATGGCTGGCCTTCTTGTAGAACAACTCATTTGATGCAACCTATGTAGCCCAACACGAAAACAAGAACGGCGAAAACACCTATGAACAAAACATGAAAAAATGTGCATATATATATATATATATATATATATATATATATATATATATATATATATATATATATATATATATAGAGCAAATACCAATTTTGGTCCCACGAGTATTAGCAAAATGACGGTTTTAGTCCACATGTTTAATTCCTACCAATTTTCATCCACGACTATTGTTTTAGTGCCAATTTTAATCCATGACTATTATTTTAGTACCAAAATTCATCACATCGGTTACCCATCAATTTAAGACATCCTGAAATCTAAAAATTTTAAGGGCATTTTCGTTATTTTCAACTTAATATTCCAATTTGAGCATAAATAAATGAATTTAAGCCCTAAGATTGATCCCAATTCGCAGTTCTCCTCCTCATCATACCTTAATTTGAGGAGGAAAACTGTGAATTGGGATAGATCTTAGGGCTTAAATCCCTCTATTCATGCTCAAATATGGATCCTAATTTGAAAAGCACGAAACTACCCTTAATAATTTCATATTCCGGCATGTCTTAAACGAAGGAGTGACCGGCGTGATGAATTTTTGCAGTAAAACAATAGTTGTGGATGAAAATTGGTACTAAAACAATAGTCGTGGATGAAAATTGGTAGGAATTAAACATGTGGACCAAAACTGTCATTTTGCTAAAACTTGTGGGACCAAAATTGGTATTTGCTCTATATGACCAAAAATATGTCTTTTACTCATATATATATATATATATATATATATATATATATATATATATATATATATATATATATATATATATATATATATATATATATATATATATATATGTTGGTGATAATGAACCAAAATCGATTTAATATCCGTAAAATAATATTTATATATATACACACGAAATATATATAAAATATTATTGGATATATATCCGAAATATATATATACACACAAATATATATATAAAACGGACCCAACGGTTATATATACATGTATATCTACGAAAAAGATATACCAATATATATCAACCAAAAAGAAAATATAATCTTTAGATTATAATTCCAAAACAACAAGAAAGAATGGATTTTTGCTTAGAGCATAATCCAAAACAAGAAAGAAGAAGAAAGAAAGAAATGTACGAGTTAGGCAAAGTGCCTGTCTTTCCTTAAAACCTTATTTGCCACCTCCCAAAAGTGCTAGGAGCGTTGTGGCCTAGGTTTCCCAGGATAAAACGTACAACGGTTCGACGTTTGAGCACCCAAACGAACGAACCCGGCGAACTAGAGCATGGGCAAAACACAGTAGCAAGAAAAAGGAGTAGGAGCAGAGGTTTTGAGAAGGAAAATTGCTTATCTTTGTGTGTTGTGTACTCTCGTGTTCTTCCCACACTTGTTGTAAATCACTTGCTCCTACTACCTCTTCTTATATAGGAATTGGAGTACTAAATAGCATTTAGTAGGCATTCATGGCACGTTGGTAACATCTGAAACAGCTGGTCATTAGTGCAGGTTTAATTCAAAATTTAAAATGAATTAATACAGAGATTAATTCCTGTAACGGATGAATTAAATCTCCACTGTCCAGAAACAGCTCTGGTAGACCGAAGTGCTGTTCAGCCGCAGCGCACGAGAGCAACTCTCGTGCTGCATGCTCTCGGCCAGGCCACAGCGCACGAGAGCAACTCTCGTGTTGCTTGGTCTCGGCCAGCGCACACGAGAGCACCTCTCGTGCTGCTTGTTCTCTGTTCGACCAGCGCACGAGAGAGCAACTCTCGTGTTGCTCTCGGGCCAGGTCGAACCCAGGCTTTCTTAGCCCGCAAGGCCAGCCAATTTCCGGACGACATTCGTGCCCGGGCTTGAATCAAGCCTCTCCGAAGTCATCTCTAGTTGGAATTTGATTTGCACCCCCCACCCCTCCCCCCCCCTCCCCCCCCCCCCCCCGCGCGAGAGAGCCTCTATGCTATACAATACACTACTACAAAAAAGGGCTTTAACGTCGATTTTTTTACCCCTTTTAACGTCGGTTTTCGACCGACGTCTAGGCAGCAGACGTCGTAAATCATGAGATACGAGGTCGGTTAAAAAAACCGACGTCGTATAATTTTTAAAAGGCAAATATTAACATACGACGTCGGTTATTAAGAAAAAACCGACGTCGTACATTTTAAAAATTAATTTTAATTAAGAAACGACGTCGGATTTTTAAAAAAATCCGACGTCGTATGTTTAAAAAATATAATAAATTCACAAAAGACGTCGATTGTTTCTTAAAAACCGACGTCTTATGTGAACTATAAAAATAAAAAAAATTAAATTTATTGTTTTTTTAAGACGAATCCTGTACAGCTTTTACAACCTGCCCAGCAATTGCAATTTGATATTCAAATCTCAAAATTGATCAAGCTAATAAATCTTACAATTAATTTATAAAGGAACTCAAATCATATAACTAAACAAGTTAAATTAATAGTAATTCTACAATTGATAATAATAATAATAATTTCATACTTAAATTATCAACATCAACTAAACATCAAGCATTGTTTTAACTCTTCATCAATAAGATACATAGATCACACATCTCTAACTTCATCAATCTCATATTGATTGTAGGACAAACCTCCTTATCTCTTTAAGTGATACAAAGTTGAAAAAAAGAAGTGAGTAATCAATGACTACCCCCCTATAATAAACATCATTCATAAAACATCAAGGGGATCAATATCAATCAACACCATTCCTTAACACGCTATCTCTTTCAGCACATAATGACTCCCCCTATAACATGCGTCTATTCCACAATGAAATGGATAGGGCCAAATAGTGAAATAATGGAATAAAATGGAAATATAAGAAAAATCATCAGGAAATTCACATTCTTAATGGCATATGCATCAAGTAAAAAGTGAGTAATCAAGGGGATAAATAAGGAAGTAAGCATTGAACTCAACATTAGTAACAGAATGGAATTTGTTTACTCTAGTAATTAAAGCCTTGGGGAGAGGAGTAGCTTCCTTTATTTATTATGTCTCTTCCAAATACTCTTGTATGCCTATATATTGATCTGTAATCTGAAGTTAGGAGTATGAATAAGAAACCTTTCTAGCCTTTTAACAGAAGAGAAGACAATCATAATTCAAAAGACACTCTGATCCCTTTCCCTACCCAAAATTATAATCAACAAAGACGAACATAAAATCAAAAACATGTGATTCATTGTAAATTTTGATAAAAGAATAAACAAATAGCTCATTTTAAGGAGATACACAAATTGCCAGCAAGTTAATTCACATCATTGACTCTAACAAATTTTATCAGGCCATTACCTGTATGTTACTCATTTTGCTGGATTTGCCGGTGTAATTGCACAATCCAATCCATATAACCATTTGTACCACCAACCTGGTCCTCAACTAGATTTCTTAGAAGGAAGAATCCTTCTCTCGGCTGTTCATCTTGCCTTACAAGGTGACATAATTGATAATACGATGGGTCACTTTGTCTAAACTTTCTAAGCAAGCCCATCAATTTTCTTCACACTTCATTATCTTGCTCATGCAGGCAAACCTGATTCTCAAGGAGACAAAGAATAGCCACATCAGAGGAAATTTTACAAAATAAAGCTAAGGTAGCATGTCAACTTTGGCAGAGCTATTTTCTCTTTTTTTCTTTTTTATTTGCTGTGGGGTAGAACACAAGGCAGGGGGGAATAAAATAAAATCCATGATATGCCCAGTCAAATAAAACAGAAAATGTTTAAAGATTATAAAGTTGTTTGGTTGTTGGTACCAAAATGTTTTAAAATATGGAATTACCTTCCTTCGTAGGAAGTAGAATGGAAGATTATCTAGAGAAAAATCTAGATTAAAGAAAGACAAACCAAATCAGCATTTTCCATTCCTCTATTTATGTTCCACCAATGGAATGAAATTCCATCCTCATAATGTAGAGTTCAGATCTAAAAGCATAAACAACCAAGTCCATGGTGTATCCTACCTTTGAGAATTCTGCAGCAAATTCATCACCCAATAAACTCTTGATGATATCTGTTGAAAGCATTTTACCAAACCATATAACAAACCAAAAACCATCATCATAGATATAGAGACCTCTGACATCTAAGCTATCTACAGTAAGCGGCAGCCTTTTCAACATGTTCTCGGACTCCCCAGTCAAGGGGGATGTCTGAAAATCAGAGAGGAATTTATTAAGAAATCCAGAAATAGAGGGAAAGTAACTTTCTCATAGTGAACTGAGATATCAATAATAAGTTCTTCAATTTAATCAGCATCTATTAATAAGGGAAAAAGAAAGAAACTTACTTTCAAAAGATATTCATCTACACGAATCAGGTTAGGATACAAAAGTTTCAACAGTTTTGCAACTGGCAATGCCATCATAGTATATCCAGAGGCACATCGTTCATCAAGCTGTGCATCAGAATAACCACCACATAGGGGTGTTGACTTGGACAAAGCTAATCCATACAAGGGCAATAGTTTCAGTGACTCTGGGTATATCATCCTTCCCCCCAGGCGATGTTGTACAGCATACAAATTTCGATATTCTCTGAGGGCTTTAACAATTCTCAGTTGAATAGAACTCCGAGCCTCTTCCAATTTAGTGGAGAGAGTTCTCTCAATTGCTGCACATAAAAATCATATTTGAGAGATCAAGAACCACTTTAACCTACATTCAAAATAAAAGATGAACGGAATGCAATGAAAGAAAAGTGAGTTTTTTATACCTAGCCTAGAGAACAAAGATAAAATTGCACCAGCATCAGCAAGGCGATACATTTCTCCTAATTCTGCAACCACAGGTGCTGCTGCTGTGTGTACCCTAATACGTCTTTCTCCATAAGAGGATGTGTACCTTCATACTATTAAGGAACCCTAAATTTCCCAAAGATAAGAGGAAAAGCTAAATACCTGTGTATTCAATATCAAGTAGAAACTTCATCTCCATACCAAAGCGTGGTGGCGCGGCGGTGTCCGAAAGCGTCCGGCGAGGGCTGTTGGGGCGACACGACGGTGCGGTGAGGGGTGAGGCAGCTGGCGACGGCGAGAAGAAGGAAAAGGTGGAGCAGCTGTGGCGACGACGGTGGAGCGGCTGTGCGACGAGCAGAAGGAGACGATGTGGCAAAGACGCGACGGTGGTGGAGCGGCGGTGTGGCGTGGAGACGAGGATGGAGGTGTGGCGTGGAGAGGAGGTAGAACGGCGGTAGGTTTAATTTTTTTGTTTGATCTGATCTGTAGTGTGAGCGGCGTTGTAATTTCAATATGATATGCAATATTTATTTTTTTTTAATATAAAATGGTTACTACGTCGGCTATTTTGAATAACCAACGTCGTACCTCAGATAAAAAATAAAAAGTAAAAAAACGAATAACTATACGACGTCGATTAGTTTACTAACCGAAGTCGTATAGTATATTTATTTTTTTATTTTTTAAATTAATATGTTACGACGTCGGTTAAATGAATAACCGACGTCATATATTTTGTAAATTTTATATTTTTTTAATTTTATGGACTTACAGCGTCGGTTTTTTGATAAAATCGACGCGGTAAGTCTTTTTAAAAAAAAATTAAATTTAAAAAAATATATAACGTCGATTTTTCATTTAACCGACGTTATATCCCCGACGTTGAAAGTGATTTCTGTAGTAGTAAATTCTACAAGGTCTAAAAAAGCTCTTGTATAAAAGGGGGGTGAAATCCTCTTTCCAAATCAATGTGGGACAAAACTCACTTTTCCCTTACATTTTCCAACTCAATGGGTCTACTTTGAGAATCAATATCTCATTCACCCATTATCCGTTTTGAGCGTACAATATATCAATCTCTTCGTCTCACTACGAAGAATCCGAATCCACTTTCACCCGATCCAAATCGGAAGTGGACCCCACTGATAATTGTACCACAAAATAGCCACTTAACATGTCATTTTATGCCATTTTAATGCTATTTTTCCAACAATATATATATATATATATATATATATATATATATATATATATATATATATATATATATATATATATATGTAAAAGACATATTTTTGCTCTATTCCTGATTATTCATGCCGCACCATGATCATAAGTGATATTAAAGATCATGGTGCGACATGAATAATTAGGAATGTTTCATGGTGCGGGATGACACTTTAGCCTTGGTTTTGGCTTATTATACAAATCTTATTTATTTAATATATTCTTATTATTTCAATGAATAATAATAATAAATAAATAAATAAAAAGTCACCCGAAGAAGCATCCACCAAAATCATAGAATTATCAAGCAACCCTTCATAGAAAGCCATTATCAAATCCCAACTTTGAATCCCGTGGACACTGCCTCTTCAACTCCTTAAACCTGCGTACCTCTCCCAAGACTCAGTTAGGGACTCAGCTGCCAGTTGTTTAAAGTTTTGAATTGCCTTTCTCATCCTTTAAGTCTTGGAGATTGGATAAAACTTCTTCACAAATTCTCCATGTAATTTTGCCCAAGTGTCAAAATGGTTATCTGGAAGTGAGGATAACCAATCATCAGCCTTGTCCTTTAGTGAGAATTGAAAGGAAAAAGCCTAAGCCTGATAGCTTCTTGTGTGACCCCATTCATCTTGAAAGTGCCACAAATTCGTAGGAACTTTGTGACATGAGCATTGGGATCCTCCGTGGGTGACCCTCCAAATTGGTCCGACGCAACCATATTGAGTATGGCCGGCTTGATCTCAAAGTTGTTGGTGTCCACACCTAGAATATTGATGCTACCATGCTCCTCAACGTCTGGAGGAAGGTAGTCAAACATGGATCTTCATCCGGCTTGGTTTCCTTGTGCCTGTGTCATCCTGGTTTGTTTTCTAAGTAACTTGGCTAGCTTTTCGATCTCAGGGTTTAAATGCAATAATCCTTCACTTCCCGAAGATCGTGTGCACATTAAAACCAAGTTCTTAGACTTAAAGCAAAACTACACTCAACAAGAACAACTCGTTAACGATTAGCAAAATTAAAAAATAAAAATAAAAATAAAAAATGGATTAGACCCTCCTAGAATAGAACTTTCACTAATGTTAATACTAAAACGCCACTTCCCGGCATCGGCATAGTGGGTATTTTTAGTTTTGATTTGGATCTTTTGCTTCACAAGAGTTTTTACTTAACATGTGATTTAAGGATGTATAGCTTTTGGTTAGCCATTTGTTTTTATTCTTTAACCATGAGCTTATGTTGTATTTGCTTTTGGCTTATTATACAAATCTTATTTATTTAATATATTCTTATTGTTTCAATGAATAATAATAATAATAATAATAATAATAATAATAATAATAATAATAATAACTTTTCAAAAATAATAATAATAATAATAATAATAATAATAATAATAATAATAAGGAATAAGGTTCAAATTGGCCACTGAACGTAACCTGAAAATGCAATTAGGCCACTGAACGAAAAAAAAGTGCAATTAGGCCATTGAACACTCCAAAAATGTGCAATTAGACCACTGAACTCTCCAAACGTATGCAATTTCACCGGATAGCAAGTTACCATCAATTTTAGCAGGTTACCTGCTTACGTGGCAGTTTAGTTGGCATTTTTAATAATTTTTAAATAATTTTTAATAATTAATTTTAATAATAAATTTTATAAAAAATTGGAAAAAATTAAATAAAAAATAAAATAAAGTCGTTTTTATTTTTTACAAATTTTTTAAATAAAAAGTTATTATTAAAATTTATTAAAAATTAATTAAAATTTATTAAAAATGCCAACTCAGCTGCCACGTAAGCAGATAACCTGCTAAAATTGAGGGTAACCTGCTATCAGGTGAAATTGCACATTTTTTGAGTGTTCAGTGGCCTAATTGCACTTGTTTTTCGTTCAGTGGCCTAATTGCATTCTCAGGTTACGTTCAGTGGCCAATTTGAACCTTATTCCTAATAATAATAATAATAATAATAATGAAAAATGACATTTTTTTATGTTTTGATTCATGATATAATTTGTGATCAAATTAAATTGCAGGGAAGGCCTTGTGGTTGTGGATGTCCTTGTCTGTTTCAGTGCATTTTAAATACATAAAGTGTATGCAAATTAAGGAATTGTGCATACACCTCCAACACTACTTGTCCCTCCTACCTCAAAATCAACTTTGATCTGATCTTCCATACTTAGCTTCTTCTTCTTCTTCTTCTTCTTCTTCTTCTTCTTCTTCTTCTTCTTCTTCTTCTTCTTCTCCACACTGCATTATTCATATATCTCCAACCCAAGCTGAGGCACCACTGGCTTTAATTTGCTTTCTGCAGGTAGTGATACCAACTCCAATATGATCCATTCCTGCAGTGACCAAAATGAAAGTCCATCGAAAATATATAAACGAATCCATGCCTCGAAAACGTTGGAATATTGCAACAGACAAATGTTTTACATACTTATAAGCAAATTAAAATCTTGACATGCAGTGTCACCTTCACTCACAACATGCGTGCCTGCATTATATTATATTATGGCATTCCAATCTTGAGGAATTTTTTTTTATCTTACTTAACAATGAAGATCAATCTAATTAAAAGCGCTAACATCAATAAGATCGATATATGAAAAAAAAAAAAAAACTAATTAGTTAGTAGCTACTATACACATCATATCCCACAAAAACACTCCAGGATAAAATCCCAAAGGCTGCAACATCTTTTGTGTCTTCTCCTATGTATTCCAGCCATTTTGCTCTACACTTGTGCATACACCTCCATTGTGTTGGATATCTCGTTGGTATATCCCAATAATAATACTACAAAGTAAGGATTATTATTTTAGTTAGAAAAAAGGGAAGGAAAGATGCAGAGAAAGGCTCGTGTTTGGTGTAGGGTTGAAGCGCGATTCAATGTTTGAGCAACATTTAGAGAAAGGCTCGTGTTTGGTGTAGGGTTGAAGCGCGATTCAATGTTTGAGCAACATTTTGAGAAAGAGAGAGTATGTTGCCCTCAGGTACCAGAGATTAGGCTTGAGTCAAGCCTTTTTGGCTTGATTTGATTTGCACCACCCCTACACACGAGAAAGAACCTTTATGCTATACAATTCAATAGTGAGACAAATTCTATTCTCAAACCAATGTGGGACAAAAGCTCACTTTTTCCCTTCATTTTCCTACTCAAATGGGTCTACTTTGATAATCAATATCTCATTCACCTATTATCCGTTTTGAGCGTACAATATATCAATCTCTTCGTCTCACTACGAAGAACCCGAATCCACTTTGACCCGATTCAAATCGAAAGTGGACCCCACTAATAATTGTACCACAAAATAGCCACTTAACATGTCATTTTAAGCTATTTTTTCCAACACATTTTACTACTTCTCCAATCATTGTTGAGATTCAAAATCATTTCTTTTACCCTGGATAGGTCCACCTTGCTTTGTACCTCGAGTTTTAGCACATTGGATGATTCATCTTATGTGCAGGTCTTTGATTCAATTCTTGATCTCCCTTTTGTTTCCATCCTCCAATTGACTCCATCTCCATCCAAATGGTATGCAAATCACTCTTAATTGTTTTGATCAAATTAAATTGTACCTGTCCCCACACACACACACACACACAAAAAAAAAAAACAAATAAAAGCTCTTTGAACCTAATAACTAAATTTTAAGCATAAAAATTTGAGGTAAAATAAGATCAAATATGAAAGTAAGTTAAGTCATCTTTTTAATTAGTTAATTACGCTAAAGGATAGAATTCTATATATGATTCAAATTTATATTTTAAGACAGGATAAGTTATCCTTAATGCTTTGAAATCAACTGCCACATGGAGTAATAAGCTTGGGTCAAACCTGTCCTCATCATCTTGTATCATTTCTCCCGGCTTGAGCGAGTACATCCCAGTACCTGTAACCTCAATGCCTTCTCCAAGCTTAACCACGATTAGCCCTTCAAATTTCTTTTGAGTAAAAAACAACTCCAGAACTTCTTTATCAATTCTTTCTGGCTTTTCCACCAACCTACCTCATTGTTATTAGATTTCTGTTGAAATAATTATCAAATTCAAATGAAAAAGTTTGTACCACTAGTTATCAATATAATCCTCAAATAACAAATGGAACTAACATAAATATACTACCATACATAGCGTTTTATTCTTGAAATAAAAGATACTTTAGATCATTACCTTTGCAGGTAAATGAGGCTCAGAATCGTCGTCAGAAGAAACATCAACCTCCTTTATAGTTAGTTTTCTCATTGAATTCCTAACTCCAACAGTGTTATCACTTTGCAGGGGGTCAACCATATCTTCTTCGACTATAGTAGAGACTGGATCTGACTCCTCCATCTCAATAACACCTAGACAACTACCTGTTGTATCATTTTGATAGAGCCGTTCCACCTCGTAGTTCTTCAAAGCCCCCAGCAAAAATTGAGTCATCTCCAGGGCAGTCGTGTACCCCTATAATGACAAAAAAAACGCCAAGTCTAACAAAGTTGTTGGAATATTTATAAAATAAATTCCCAAAGATTATGGTTTTCAAATTTGAATGATGCATGTTGAGTTATCTTTTCTTCTAAAGAGCATATTTGACAAGGTGGAGATTGTTGAGTTATCTTTTTTCCTAAGGAGCATATTCGCCATATGAGACAAACTCAACAACGCACTGCTGGAAATTATGGAATTTCCGACCACCTGAAAGTGATCTTAAATCAAGTAGAAAGTCTTGTTCCGACCACTTTTGGTATCCAGCAAAACCTTTGTTGCTATTTTCGACCACTTTTTGCTTTCGAATTGATTTAAGATCACTTTCAGGTGGTCAGAAATTCCAGAATTTTCAATAGTGACATAATTCTTATACCTTTTTTTAAAACCTTATTTGCTAGGAACGCTGTAGCATGGATTTCTCAAAATAAAATGAATTTAAAATTTAAAAGTTGAGCACTCAACAATTAAATCCGGCAAACAAAAATTAAGCAAGAAAACAAGTTCTTTTAGAGGAGGAAGAGGAAAAGTTAATTCAAAATTAATTGATACAGATTAAAATTAGCGCATTCTAGAACGGTACACTAGAAGTTGACACCCAAAAGATACACCAAAAAATTCGTAACGAGAAGTGCTTAAACCCAAAGCACTAGAATGTTCATTGACACAAAGCACCGAAAGGTGCTTAGTTTACAAAGTACCGTATGGTGCTATGACAAGCACCTTCATGTGTTTTAATCCACAAAGCACCTTCCGATGCTTAACTACATAAGGCATCATTCAGTGCTTTAGCCACAAGAGCACCGAACAGTACTTTTTGCATTGGAAGGTGCTTTAATACAAAGCACCAAAATGAGCATTATCAATAAGTACTATACAATTCGACTTCTCTTATTTTTCTATCTCAAATAATGAGTATATTTTGAGAATTAATTTTTTATTTACTATTATCTATTTTGAACATATAATAAATCAATTTCTTCATCACACTTCAAAGAGCCCGAATATAATTTGACCCGACTCAAATAAGAAACGAATTTCACTGCTATTGATATCACAAAATAGCCACATAAAATATCATTTTATGCTAAATTTTCTAACAACCACACAAATGAATAAAAATTAATTTTCAGGACTATAAAAAAAGGATACAATTGTGTTCAGCGGTCAATCCCTTCATAGGTAGGTGTTACAAAATAGTCAATTAAAATGTTATTTATACTAAAATTTTCAACAGTTACGTACCTTGCTCTGGAGCTTGAGCATATCCAATAATGCTGAGAGTTCTAGAGTGGTGGCATCCTCCTTAGATCGTAGTTGCGCAACATCGTCCAACAACTCCAAAATGCCCCTCTTCAGTTTGGACCCCTCGGCCGTGATTCTGGTGGACTCATCATGCAATTTCTGAATTTGCTCTGACAGGCTCGGTTTCTTGGCAACAGGAGATGGACTCCTTTTCTCCCCGCCTCTTGGTAGCACAGATGGAGGCGACATTATTGCCTTGGGCACCTTCCTAATGTCCTCGGACTGCATTACTTCATCTGCAATTACTAAGAAAAAAATAAATTGTTAGCACCCACCCAGTGACTGGTAAGGAGAGGGTTAGCGATTCTGACCTTGTCCAGCAAACTGGGTATTTTGTTCTTCTGTAATTTCAACAATTCGAACCCCAGTTTCTGCTTTCTCCCTGGAATTTCCAACCTCTTCGTTAGAGGCCAAGGAATGGTCTCTCTCTGTGGCATCATCTATTGCTAGTTCATCAAATTCTATGAACCCCTTGGGACATGGAAAGAAGCGCACTTCACCATCTGATCTGTTTCTATGTAATACACACAAGCTAAATATCTTCAAAGGTTGGAACACTGCATACACCTCCACTTCTTCCCCAACCTTTATTCGGACCCTAAAATGAAATCTTTCAGACTTGTTGATCACAATATTATCATCCTCCAATCTAAAGTGAAGTTTTAACGGGTGGCGATGCTCTAAACACCTACAATCTACATGCTTGGCTTTCTTTACAATCAAAGCACCAGTTGTTCTGCTTCTGATAATGATATGAGCTTCACAAGTGTAATTAGGATCAAATCCCCCATGGATGATATCAAAGAACTTATGCCTCAATGGAATAGTGCAATACAAAAATGATCCCACCATTTGAAGCCAAATCTCGACATCACCACCTTCTGAATATGCCTACATACATACATACATGCATTATTTGAGAGATCAGAGATCGAAATCGAGATGGATCACAAGGAAAGAACTAACCTGGTAGCAGTTTTCAGTCAAAGGAATAGTCAAAGCACTACAATTTGTTATGTCAAGTCTATGTATGGAATCAAGACTCTCCAGGCCTGGAAGCTCAATCAAACTCTTGCAATTGGGAATATACAGCTCCTTGAGTCTTTTCAAATTTGATGTATTTACTTTTCTCAATGAGGGACAATTTTTTGCAGAGAGTTTGAGCAAACTAGGAGGAAGTTGTACAAGTTCTTCAAGATTGGGGCAATCCTCCAATTCAAGGATTTCCAATCTGGAAAGAACGCTTAGGCTGAAGGGAAAGCTCTGGAGGTAGTAACTTCCCTTTATACTTAAACATTTCAATGAGGATAATCCCTTAAAATCAAGCAGCTCTTTATCAGGCAGATGGTTGTGAGCTATATTCAAAGCTTCCAAGGAACGTAAATATCCAAATGTAGATGGAAAAAAGCCAACCATATGAGAATTGTCAAAATATTGAGATTTTGATTTTGGTGGTCCTAACAAATCCTTGTGCCACCCCACAGACAGGATGTTGAGATTCGTCAAATGTCCCAAAGTAACAGGTAAACGTGAGATGTTAGTCCTATGAGCATGTAATATCCTCAGTTGCCCTAATTTTCCCAAGTTGAAAGGAAGTTCTCCAAGGCTTAAGCAATCATTTAGATATAAAAATTGAAGTGAGTTCAACTGGCCAGTGCTATCTGGAAGCATCTTTAGCTTCTGGCAGGATGCTAAATCTAACTCAATAAGACTCTCCAAGCATCCAATTGATGAGGGCAACTTGACCAAATTTTTACAATACTTAAACGACAGTATCTGAAGATTTTCAGCCCCAGTAAAGTTCGGTGTTTCTTCAAGTTGTTCACAACCACCAAGGTTTAAGATCCTCAAGTTTTTGAAATGCTGTTGAAATCAAGACAAAAGGGTTTTAATCATTTTATAATGTTATAGTTAAGTTCCTAGGGAATATGTAATTTTAAAGGAGGCATTTGACATCCAAACCTGCATTTTGAGTTGAACACTTGTGATATTGCTACCTTGCAAGTGAAACACTTCAAGTTTTTCATGGTGAAAATCAGATGGTATCTTTTTCAAAGGACAATTATGCCACCAAAACCATCTAAGCTCCTTGGGTAAATGCTTAAAAGACCCTTTGAGATGCACACCATCCAATTTGAGGAGTCGTAAATTTTTCATTCTTGAGAGTACTTTAGTACTCAAAGACTTATTCTTTAACATACTAGAATGTACATACATCCCTTCAATTGCTTCATTTAGTTCTGTACCCTAATTTAAAAAAAAAAAAAAAACCATTTTATAGAAAAATAAGACATTATATTTTTTTTTATAAAACTGAGTAAACAAATGATTGACATGAACAATTAATTAGAAGATAAATATTTTACCTTTTTGCCTTTTATCACGACGTCATAGACATCAACTGCGTTCATAAGTCTACTTCGTTTGCTAGGATCATGAGGGGATTCATTTTGAATAATTTCTATTGCCATCTCCCATACTGAAGGGTCCATCTGGAGCTTCTCTTTTTCTTCACTTCTATGTATTGTTAACAAGCCTCTCTTGATCAAAGTTCTTATTCCAGTTTCAAATTGAACACCAAAATCTTGAACAATATCATTTTTGTTCAGTCCAATAAAGAAACAAGCAATGTCAAGAAAGATGCTCCGAGTATTACCATCAAGTTCATCATAGACTTTTCTATGAATTTTTTGGATGACATCTGGAGTCCTCAATCCTAATTTCTCAACTTCTTTGCTCCCTTCTTCCTTCAATCCTAATTTCTCAACTTCATTGCTCCCTTCTTCCTTCAATCCCAATTTCTCATCTTCATTGCTCCCTTCTTCCTTCAATCCCAATTTCTCAACTTTGTTGCTCTCTTCTTCCTTCAATCCCAATTTCTCAACTTCATTGCTCCCTTCTTCCTCCAAACCCAATTTCTCAACTTCATTGCTCTCTTCTTCCTTCAATCCCAATTTCTCAACTTCATTGCTCCATTCTTCCACTGATTTTTCACGCAAATGAGAGCCTAAAACTGTAAGTGCTAATGGAATTCCACGAGTGTAACCTACTATTCTTTTGATTTGTTTAGTATACTCCTCTGGTGGTACAAGAACACCAAAAGCATGCAAACTCAAAAGCTGCGAAGATTCATCAAAGCTTAATGTTTCAATCTCATACTTCTCATGTGCTTTAATTAGATCGTCTCTCAACAAATTCACATTTCTAGTTGTTATTATGACAATGCTGCCGCAACCAAACCAATTTCGTTGTCCTGCTAATGATTCTAATTGGCTTATGTCATCTATGTCATCAAGAACAATAAGAACCCTTTTTGATTGCAGTTTTTGTTTGATCAAAATTTTCCCTTCTTCAACATTATCAACTTCAAATTTTATCTTCAGTGTTTTCCGAAGAATTTTTTCTTGTAAACGAGCTAGACCATTGTATCCCTTATTAGAAACTTCTTGTCTAATATTTGCAACAAAGCAATTACCTTCAAACCCTTGGAAATCGATCAAGTGATTGTATATAGCTTTAGCAAGGGTTGACTTTCCTATACCACTAATACCAAAAATTCCAATCATCTTGACATCATCATTTTTTTGAGTTTGCAATAAATGAAGTATATCTCCAACACGAGAATCAATTCCAACCGGATACTTTGCAACATTCCTGGGCTCGAAGTTCAGCTCCCTTAGTACATGGTTAGTAATGCTCTCAATGAACTTTGGCTCAAACCTGATCAAATTTTAAATTTATTGCATAAAATAATCTTAGCATATAAAGAGACATTAAAATATTACGAACCCAAATTGGCAATAATACAGAGACATTAAAACATAATATAAAACTAAATAGTAAGCTACTACGACCAATCAAGAATCTATGGCAATGATTTCACTCCCTCTCATCGTTTGATAATTTTCATATCCTCACTACATAGAACAGTGATGCAATATAATCTCAAATAACATTACTTTGTACTAGAACTAACGTTAGTGCACAATTTTTCTCAACGATTTAAGTACAGAGAATTTTTCATTTTTAGTTCCATGACTATTCAATCATTTTCCATTTGGTCGTTAACTATTAATTTTTTTCAAGATTTTTAAAACATTGCCACATTTGATTCTTCCAACTTAATTTTCGGTATTGGGAATAAATGTTTATAGATTTTGATAATGCTATCTCAACAGTATATTAATAATATAAGACCCCAGATTCAAACCTTGTAAGTTATTCATTTAGACTTAGGAGTATCTTCTTTGATTTGTCTTCACTCAACACCTATCAAGAGCCCAATGGTTAGTTTTTCAAGACAAAAGAAATACTCCGGATATTAACCTCAGAAGTAATTCTTACGAGGAAGGTGTTTGATAATTGATAGAAAATGCTATATTTACTGCATATTAGTTTTATTTTTGAATTAGTCTTTCATTATCTTGTTTTAATTCAAAGTTTTTGAGATATTTTAGAATTGTTTGTTAAGTTATTTTCTCTGTTAATTTTGTATAAATATGCAGAGATAGAATGGAATAAATATATTTATTTTCCCCAACAAACTTAAGTGTTTACCACTAATTATCCTACAAAGTGGTATCAAGAGCCATTTTTCTTAAGGGACCTGTGTGAGTGAATCAGTGAGGAACCCTTATCACGTGAAAACCTTACCCTCAAATGGCAGGAAATAGTTTTTTGTCTAAACCCCCAATTTTCACAGGTGAAAATTACCATGCATGAGCTGTGAAAATGGAAACTAATTTAGAAGCACATGGACTATGGGAAATGAGGTTAATTGATGAAGTTCCAGCACTTCCTAAATATCCAACAATTATATTGGCCAAATGAGAGAGTACAGGGAGGAAAAGAAGAAGATGAATAAGGTCAAGACTTGCATTCATTCGACACTAACGGATGAAGTTTTTACAAAAATCATGACCTGTAAAACTGCAAAACGGGCATGGGATTTGTTTAAAAATGAATATGAAGGAAACGACAGGACAAAAAGAATGCAAGTTCTGAACTTGAAAAAGGAATTTGAGATGCAAAATTGAAGGAGACAGAATCATTAAAAGATTACTCCGAAAGATGGCAGAAGGTGGTAAACAAATTAAAATCAGATTATTGGGAGAAGAACTTCCTGATGATCGGGTTGTTGAGAAAATATTGGTAACTTTGCCGAAGAGATTTGAATAAAAAATCTCTTCAATTGAAGAGTCTAGAGATTTGTCAGAAATATCTCTACCAGATCTTCTCCATGCACTTAAAACTCAAGAACAAATGAGGTGAGTCAAAACCAACCAAAAGGCAAAAACCAGGGAAGTCAAAACAGTGCCAACAGAGGAAAATTCCCTCCCTGCCAGCACGGTAAGAAAGCCTCACACTTAGAAAAATATTGTTGGTTTAGACCTGATGTGAAATACTTCTCTTGCAATCAAATGGGTCATGTGAAAAAGGTTTGCCAAAACAAACCACAATAGGCTCAAGTAGTGGATGAAGAACAAGGAGAGCGAGGAACAACTTTTTGTTGCGACCTGTTTTGCAAGCCAAATTTCAAGTAACGTTTGGATAATTGACAGCGGATGCACTAATCACATGACTTTTGATAAGTCACTGTTTAGAGAGATTGATAAAACAGTGATATCAAAAGTCAAAATTGGTAACAGACATATATTGAAGTCAAAAAGGTAAAGGAACTGTTGCAATTGACGGACCATCAGGTATAAAACTAATTCTGATGTGATGTTTGTTCCTGAACTTAGTCAAAATTTGCTTGAGTGTTGAACAACTACTTGAGAAAGGTTATTCTGTTACTTTCAAGAATAACATGTGTTTTATAACTGATTCATGTAGAGATGAATTATTTTCTGTGAAAATGAAAGACAAGAGTTTTTGTCTTGATTGGGATAAGGCAGAGTTTAAAGCCTTTCCATGTGTTGTTAGCCAAGCTGAATTACGGCACAAAAGGCTAGGGCACTTTCATTATTCCCCTTGGAGTATATGCAGAAAAAAGAGTTAGTAAGAGGAATGTCATTCACAGGATGAGTTGCAACAATGCGTGAGATATGTCAGTTGGGGAAGCAAACCAGATTGCCATTTCCTGTAGGAAAAATATGGAGGACAGCTAAAAAACTTCAACTCATTCATACTGATGTTTGTGGAGTTATGGAGAATGTTTCTATAAATGGCAGCAAATATTTTATACTTTTCATTGATGATTTTACTCGAATGTGTTAGGTATATTTTCTTAAACAAAAGAGTGAAGGTGTTGATGTTTTTTGGAAGTTTAAATCCTGGATTGAAAATCAAAGTGGTTGCAAAATTAAAGTAATTCGGTCTGATAATGGTACTGAATATACTGCTGATAGATTTACCAAGTTTTGTGAAGATGCGAGAATTGAACATCAATTCAGGGTAATCTACACTCCTCAACAAAATGGAGTGAGTGAGAGAAAGAATAGAATTGTCATGGATATGGATCGGTGTTTGCTCTTTGAGAAAGAAATGCCAAAAAAGTTTTTGGCAGAGGCAGTTGATACAACTGTGTTTTTGCTAAATAGGTTACCAACTAAAGTTTTAAAAGGAAAAACACATTTTGAAGCATGGTATGGTTTTAAGCCTTTTGTTCTTAATGTTAAAATATTTGGTTGTCTATGTTTCACCCGTGTTCCAAATGTAAAACGAGAGAAGCTAGATCCAAAGACAGAATATGGAGTCTTTGTTGGTTATAGTAATGTCACAAAGGGTTATAGAATTTTTTAGCCTTTAACAAGTAAGTTGAAAGTGTGCAGAGATGTCAAGTTTGATGAAACTACCAAATGGAATTGGGACAAAAATGAACCTGAAAATATTAAAGAAGAATTAGAAGAGCTTCTTGAAGATGAAAGAATTGATGATATTCCTGTAAGAGGTACAAGGTCACTTGCTGAAATTTATGAAAGGTGCAATGTAGGAGTACATGAACCTGCAAGGTATGATGAAGCCGCTAAAGACCCAAAATGGATTGCTGCAATGGAGGGGGAGATGAGAATGATTGAGAAAAACAAAACCTGGCAACTTGTGGATCGGCCTGAACATAAGAGGACCATCGGTGTGAAGTGGGTTTACCGAACCAAACTCAATGTCAATGGCTCTGTTAACAAGCATAAAGCAAGGCTAGTTGTGAAGGGTTATGCTCAATTATATGGTGTCGACTATTCAGAAACGTTTGCACCTGTAGCAAGGTTAGATACTATAAGGTTTCTCTTAGCACTTGCAGCACAAAAACAATGCCGGATTTATCAACTTGATGTAAAGTCAGCCTTCTCAAACGGCTATTTAGAGGAAGAAATTTTTGTTGAGCAACGTGAAGGTTTTGTAACAAATTCAGGAAGCAATATGAAGCTAATCAATGAATTTAAGACTCAAATGATGCAAGCTTTAGAAATGACAGATCTAGGAGAAATGAATTTTTTCCTAGGCATGGAGGTTCAGCAAACTCAAAATGGAATTTATATTGGACAACAAAAATATGCTAGGGAGGTGTTGAAGAAATTCAATATGGAAAGCTGCAAGTCAGTAAGTACTCCTCTTTCTCAAAATGAAAAATTAAGTAAAGATGATGGTGTTGAGAAGGTTGATGGGACAACGTATAGGAGTATTATTGGATGCCTTATGTTCTTGACAGCAACAAGGCCTGATATAATGTTTCTTGTAAGTTTATTATCAAGATTTATGCATTGTGCTAGTGAGTTGCATTGTACATCAGCAAAGAGGATTCTTAGGTATATAAAGGGAACTCCACTATGGTTTGAAGTTTGAAAGGTATGAAAGGGTTGTTGACTTGTTGTTGGGCACATCTTTTACAGGGTGTTTGGTTGGGAGGAAAGGTATTGCAATTCGGTGGGAAAAGGATAAGGTGGAAATAATGTAAGAATTCAAATTACATTGTTTGATAGAGAGAAAAAGAACTATTGAAAATAAGAACGAAAGAAGTGGTATAAAGACTAAAATGTCCTTGTGTAATAATAATAACACTCCGTAATAATAACTAAGGGTATTGTTGTCATTTTTTTACTTTTTTCATTTCTTACCCGCATTAAATTGCAATTCATAGGGGTACCCCATGAATTGCAATTCAACAAAAGGAGGGAATTAAAATTCCGTGAAATTGCAATTCCTTACAACCAAACATTGTAATTTGCATTGCCATTGAATAAGGTAGGAAAAGAATTCCAATTACATCCAACCAAACACCCTAAAGTCTGACATCTATAACTCTACCTAGGAGAGCAAAGGGTGATAATCTCCAAGAAATTTTTGTATTTTTTTTGTATTTATTATTATTATTATTGCTAAAAAGCTTAGTTTTACACACACACACACACAATGGTTTTTTATCTGAAGGATATTTGCAACACAAATGAAGATTTTGGTTTCTTTTGGATTGCTACCCCACTTGGATCAGTGATAACGAGTTTATTTGAATTTGAATCTATTAGGACTCTATGTATTTGAGTCAGTTTATGATTTCTAATCCAAGTCATCCTGTGACTCTTTCTTGTATATATTCTCATTATCTGTACTCTTTGCATGTGATTACATTGATTCAATAAAGTTATTACAGTCCTCATCTGATATCAGTTAGCTAGGGTTTTCTTTTCCAAACTAATAATTACTTTTTTTCCTCCCCAACACCCTTGTTCCACCGTTCACGGCATATTGAAGTAAAAGAAAAAAAAAAAAAAACCGAGAATGCC